TAAAATATTGAAATAAGGAATTCCTCGAGAATCAATTTGAAGTGAATTCGAAGAAATATGTGAAAAAAGTTCTTTTCGCTAACGTGCCACGTGAAACAGACGCAATTAGTTTCCAAATAACAACTCAAATTTTATGTTTTTTTTTTTGAAATTGTTGTTCGTTTTGTTTTTCATTCACATCATGAATACAACAACCCGACGAATTCCCATTTACATAATTCCATTGACCTTCCATTGATATTGCGATTATCGTGTTATATTCCAATCGCTCTTTTCCAAAGCACTTTTTTTTAACTGGTAGCATATTGTGGTCTAAATAAAAATCCACCACTTTTATTGCAGCTTTCGGAAACACGCTTCAAAGATTTTCAACAGGGAATGGACACGCCGTGACATTTATCCACCACCAACTCATTCAGTATTGACTCATGCTTCAATGCGATACTCGAAAAGTTCCAAACAGAGTTCTGTGAGCAGATTTTGATCAAAATGCATATTTTTGTTTGATAAAAAATGTTCTATGTGACAAAAAAAATGTTGATCGACCATTCGACCATTCATGATGAGCTGACATAATCAAAAAAAAAAGAAAACAAATTGTTTAAACAAAAGTGAAAACAACATGAAAAAACGAAATAATTATTAAATTTTATTTATGATTTTTACGTACAGTGTGGAACATAAATATTCTCATTTAAGCACATATCATGCCCAGTGATCTAAACTTATGTAATAAAAGCTAGTAGCCCTCATGTTTTTTTTCAGAAACAGTGAGTTTGTTTACTCGTCGGCTAATCTAAAAGAGTAGTGAAATAACTGACTGACTGACTGACTGACTGACTGACAATCAACGCGCAGTCGAAACGACTGAAACTAGAATCTTGACATTTTGCACTATGGTCAGTTCGTACTAAAAGTAAAAGTAGTAAAATGTACTACAAATGTCACTGATGGAGTGCAAGATAGATAAACTATAGGGTTTTTGGAAATTCGTGCTAAGCGGTTTGAGATTTGGCGGTGGTTTGGACATGCGTCCTATATTTGTACGAAAAATACTAAATGGTAATAAATTTGGGTTTGGAAGAACCGATAGGGTCGGAATCTTCACATTTGATATTGAGAAATTTGGTATTGAGGTCACTATTTGTTTCTACGGCTCGGATATGGAGACGTTGAAACCATTGTATAATGGTTTTACTAATATCCTCCTCGATATTATCTAAAATAAACCAGTAAAGAAAGGTCAAAGTCGGGCGGGCCGACTTTATGATACCCTACACCACTATGCTTATTAAGTGGAGCTATGCTGAATTCGGTCGAATGTGCCAAAATGCATGCCATTTGAGCTGACATTAGCCATTTGGTGCACATTTAACCCGAAATCGGATGAAGATATATATGGGAACTATAGCTATATCTGAAACGATTTTTACTAAAATTGGTGTACTTGCTTCTAGGCTGAATACTGGTCTTTTGGTGCACAATTAACACGAAATCGGATGAAGATATATATGGGTGCTATATCCAAATCTGAACAGATTTTAATAAAAATAAAATCAACTATTTTTGGGCTGTATCTGATATCTAGTACCAAATATCATTGCTGTGGAGTGCATATTACGAATGTGAGAGACTTAAAGACCAAATCGGATGAAGATATATATGGGAGCTATAGCTATATCTGAAACGATATTTACTAAAATTGGTGTACTTGCTTCTAGGCTGAATTCGGTTGGATTTGCCAAAATTCATGCCGCTTGAGCTGATGTTGGTCATTTGGTGCACAATTTACCCAAAATCGGATGAATATATATACGGGAGGTATATCCAAATCTGAACAGATTTTAATAAAATTAAAATCAACTATTTTTGGGCTTTATCTGATATCTGGTATCAAATATCATTCCTGTTTAGTGTAGATTACGAATGTGAGGGACTAAAACACTAAATCGGATGAAACATATATATGGGAGCTATAGCCGCATCTGAACCGATCTTCTTTAAATTTGATGTGCTTGCTTCCAGACAGAATTTGGTCGGATGTACCAAAATTCAGGTCATTTGGGGTGATATTGGCCATTTAGTGCACAATTAACCCGAAATCGGTTGAATATATATATGGGAGCTATATCTAACTCTGAACCGATTCTCACCAATTTCAATAGGGTTCGTCCTTGGGCCAAACAAATGTTGTTAAGAAAATTTCATCTCAATCGGATTTGCATTTTGTTCACAAGAATACATGGACAGACGGACGGACGGACAGACGGACTGACATGCATAAATCAACTCAGAAAGTGATTCTATGGAGATCCTCAAAAGTAACTATGGGTCTAACTCGCTTCCTTCTCTATGTTACAAACAAATGCACAAAGACATAATACCCTTACCACTATGTGGTGTAGTAAAAAATTTAGTACGTTTTGATTGAAAGATTTTGTCAAACTGAGCAAATTGTGCAAAGGGTACTAAAGGCCTAACAGGAACTGTTGGAACGACTCTAAAACAAACACGTCCGACTAAGATCACTGGTTTAAATCGCCGAATACTATTTTCTACAGGTTGAGATGAAAAAACTGCAACCAACTTTAACCAACCAACTGCTGTTAAAATTAATCAAAATTATTATTATTCAAATTTACAAAAGCATTCTGGTGAGAATTTTCCAGAACAAAAGTTATTCGTGATTGAATCCAAGCCTGACAGTGTCATTTCCTTATATTTGGCTGGAAAACCACAATCGTTAAAGCACTCCAGTATTTTAAAGTGAATAAATCTTTTGTATCTCGTACCATCGCTCGTTACCGTGATACTGGTAGCGTAGACCGACGTCAAGGAAGTGGACGGAAAAAACAGCAACATCAGCAGTAAAGAAGCGGCTTAATCGAAACCCGCGTCGCAGTGGTCGAAAAATGGCTCGTGAGCTGAACATATCGCAATATTCCATTCGGCAAATATTGAAAAATGAGCTCGGGGTAAAGCCATTGAAATTCTAAAAAGTACAGGAACTTACACCGCAACGGAAAGAAAATAGACGCAAAACAGCTAAAGAGTTGCTTCGCTTGGCCGAAAGTGGTGAACTGCCGAATTTGGTTTTCTCCGATGAGAAAACATTCGTTGTGCAGCTTTTTGTAAACAAACAAAATGATCGTGTTTATGATTGTGTTCCAGTTTATGTGCACCTTCGGTTGGCCACCCGAACTCAAGCGCCGGCCATGGTGATGGTATGGGCCTCCATAACAGCCGATGGTCGCTCTTCGCTCGTATTAATCGATCATGACATCAGAATAAATGCCGAATATTATCGCGAAAATATTCAAATTTGGGAACGTAAACATTTTGGCCGCAGACCTTGGACATTCCAAAAGGACTTAGCACCATCGCACTCAGCACGCGCCACCCAAGAATGGTTACAAAATTAGGTTTCTCGCTTAAATTCCAGCGCACAATGGCCACCGAAATCTCTGGATACCAATCTGTTGGACTATTGTGGCTGGAGTATTTTGGAAAGCAAGGTTGGCATTAAAAATACCAATGTTTCGGGAAAGGGCCAAAATACCACAGAGCAACATTCGGGCAGCGTGACGATTTCATTGGCCGTTGGAAGACCGTAATTCCAGCCAAAGGTGAGCAATTTGAACAAATCTAAACTAATTCTCAAATTTGATGCTATTTCCGACTTTTATGCTTTCATTCACTAAAATTAAAAAAAATGTAAAAATTATGGTGTTTGACTTTGTTTCAGTTTTTATACCCTACACCACAAGGTGGTCAGGGTATTATGTCTTTGCGCATTTGTTTGTAACAGGCAAAAGGAAACGAGATAGAGCCATAGTTCCTTTTGATGATCTGCATAGAATCACATTCTGAGTCGGTTTATGAATGTCCGTCCGTCTGTCCATGTATTTTTGTGAACATAGTACAGTTCGCATTTATTACCTGATCCAGATGAAATTTGCACAAATCATTTGTTTGACCCAAGGACGAACCCTATTGAAATTGGAGATAATCGGTAAAAAATTAGATATAACTCCCATATATATCTTCGTCCGATTTGCCTTTTATTGTGCACCAAACGTGTAATATCAGCCCGAATAATATAGAATTTTGCACATACAACCAAATTAGGCCTGAAAATAAGTATGCCAAATTTAGTCGAAATCGGTTCAGATATAGCTATAGCTGCAATATATACTGTTCATCCGATTTGTTATTTTAGTCCTCCGCAGCCGTAATATGCACTCTGTAACAACAATATTTGGGGAAATATATAAAATACAGCTCAGAAAGACCTTTGCTGAATTTTATCGAGATCGGTTCGGTTCGAGATCGGTTCGATTTACCTTTTATTGTGCACCAAACGTCTAATATTTGCCCACAATGAGTCTAGAAGCTAGTATGTCAAATTTGGTGAATATCGGTTCAGATATAGCTATAGCTCCCATATATATTGTTCATCCGATTTGTTATATTTGTTACCCACAGCCGTAATATGCACTCCGTAACAACGATATTCAGGGAAATATATCAAATACATCAGATTTGGATATAGCTCCCATATATATCATATGGGCAATACAAGTCCGACTTTTAAAGATACAAATGCTTCTGCATATTTAGTCTTTAGAACTTTAAATTATAATTATAATCATAGCGTGTATGATTGTATTCTCCCATAAAAACTTTTAATTGTTATGTGGACCTCTACTAAATTAGCAAAGTGGTGAGGGTATCATAAAGTCGGCCCGCCCGGCTTTAAGACTTTCTTTACTGGTTTTTATCTCTGGAAGAACTGGACCTACATAAACACTTTTCTGGGATAAACTGTAGTTCACATTTAGGAATTCTGAATACGAAATTCTAAACAACTCCGAATAATGTCGTCAAAATATCGAATATCAGGGATATGTGGGCGAATTTGTGAGATATTTAGTAATATCCTACAAATGGGAATTTATTGTCATGATCTTTGCGTAAGGTTAATTCACGACAGTTTTTTCGGTATTAATACATTTACAAAAATTTACCTATGGCTAATAAGTCATATTCTGGCTCATTAATCCCACTCGGCAATTTTTCATTAGTGATGTAAAAAATTTAATTTTGCCAAAAGGAGGAATAGCTGACATTGGCAAACACATTCGATATTATGTTCTTCATTCATCAGATAGCCCAAATTACTCATCCTCTAAAAAATACAATTAAAGTTCGTCCAACTGACCTACCTTCTTTGGAAGCGATGTAATGCCGTTAATATTGAAGCAATGCAATTGTACAAGGCGGCGATATTAGTATGCGTGAGTAACAGATTTGCGCGCCTTCATTACCTTCCATGGATGGATGAGTTCCCGCATTTAACAACGTCAACGCTGCCGTGCATACTCACCGAAAGCGTTGACACCACCCCCCGGGTCAATGTAGATTTTTGATTGCCGGACTTTTGTTGTTGTTGCATCAACGATTTTCCAATATCATGTCATGTGTGGGGAGTTCAGTTGTTTGTTTTGGGTTTTCCTCCAACACTCGCTCTACACTGTCACTGTCCAGAATTTTTGAATTTAGTTTATGGAAAGTAGCCAGAGCAACAACATCAGCCGTCGTCAAAAAAAGATCAACATTACTCCCAACACTTGGCCGAACAAGCACATCAACGTCATACCTAGAACACATTAAAGCTTGCGTTAGAACGAGGTATCTGGATTGGATTTTAATTAAGCGTAACGGTGGTTCGTTCCACTACAGCACAATATGAAAATAATTGAAAATTCACAACACCACTAGGCGAGCTGGACAAACAGAACAGAACAGAAGATCAACCCTACAAACGTATAATGGATATCAAAATTAAGCAGAAGTTTGTCAATGGATTATTCCGAATTTTTGTTTGGCTACTGGCCAGTGGCATCGCTGGAACTGAGGCGCAACAAACTCACATTAAATTAAACCAGGGCACTTTAGTGGGGGTAAATTTGTCAATAATTACCAAATGGAAAAGTTTTTACTCAATTTATTTTTTATTTTTTTAGTTAAAAGTATTCCCGGATTCTGCCCGCTCAGCCGTTTATGCTTTTCTGGGTGTACCCTACGCCCAGGCACCCATTGGGGAACTTCGATTTGCTGTAAGTATTTTGTGAAGGACTTTCCATATATTAAATGGTACAATAAAATTAAATTTGTTTTTCAGCCAAGCAAACCTCACATGGGCTGGAATAGAACTCTCCAGGCCATGAGTATGAAACCAATATGTCCACAATTATCGAATACCATTTACGATGAAACTTCAGACGAACTATTAGCTCGACCAGCTGAAATGAGCGAAGATTGTCTATATTTGAATATTTGGGTTTCTGAGGTAAGAGTTCATTACTATTTTAATTTGAGGAGTGTTTTTCTTGATAAAAAAATCTGTTCGTGGTTTGAAATTCTATTCATATATATTGTCCGAATTTTTCCCTAATAACCGAAAACTTTGTAAAAATTCATTAAAAATTATTACAAAATGTTTTTCCACAAACCAACGTCTAGTAAATGAGAGCGAGTAAAGAGAGCAATTTGACAGCTAAGTGACTGAGAGTTTACAAAATCTTACTGAAAAAATGTGATCAGTAAGAATTATTCAGTAACACCTAGTTATGGAACTGCGCACATCGTTATATAGGTGTCAGATACAGATCGATGTGGATCGATATAGAATGTAAAATCTTTGTCAGATTTCTCTAAACTTCACATTTTCCAATTTCTCTACCGTCGTTGGATCTAGTTGGAAGTTGGGATATCTCTGCCCAACCTCTCTCTCTCTCCCTGGTAGCTTCCCCGTAACTTTCTTCATAGCAATGTATTTATCAAACTTAGATTAAAGCAATATCCATACTTCTTCTACAAAGATCATGTTCGTAAATGAGCTATGTCGGTCAATGTTTGCGTTTTTGCCGTTATTCGGTATTTTGACGATTCAAGACACATTTTCTTACGGATTTGTTTGAATTTTTGTATTTATATTAGAACTAGCTGGACTGGTCCGCGTTGCCGGCCCGTACTTTTAGTCTTTAATGCGAATTTTTTAAAGCATAATAAATCACAGATCTGACTTATGTAAGCGGCACAATTTTCATTATAAGTAATGACTCCATTATAATGACTCCAATTTTGGTTATAAGTAATGACTCCATGACTAAATAGAAATTAATTTTTGTGTTAAATACCTTTATAATAAAGAACATCTATAATAGCCTAATGTGAAAATTCAGCTCAATTTTTATTACATTTTCATTCAAATAATCTATAATTTCGAATTTGTATTTCCAACGTTTAAAATCCCGTACTGCGTGGTATTTAGTTTTGTCCACCTCATACTTGAAGGCAGAATGTTGTCAGAATAGCCAAAAAAATTACTCTTTTGCTCCGATTACCCTAAGATGGGCATACATTTTTTGTCATTTAAATTGTGCGGTGGAGATCCAATAAAGTCCACATTTTTCATCGTAGTGTAATTCAATGACGATTAAAGAAGCGTTCGGTCTCGTGTTACTTTCTAATTTTGTATTTTTTCATGTTTCTGCCACAGTTTCCGACTGAATAAGTCCCAGATTGACATTTCGGAGTTTATTTCATATAGACGTACATCCCAAATCTACGTTCCCAATCAATATTCTCTTGGGGGTTACAAATTCAATAGAATACCAAATTTTCTTCTCTGACCACACATTGGTTGGTAAAGTGGACTTGGGGGTATACTAATGTGGGGACTAACTTAAATAAATGCCTATGTGGATAATTATCTGTAAGATGGTTTTCTACCTCAGGGTTTTTTACCCCATGTAGCCTTAAGACTAAGATGGGCCCTTTTCCGAAAAATAAAAATTTTATGAAACAAAGATGTCAAATAGGGGTCAAATAAATGGAAAAAGTAGCCAAGACCCCGAAAATACCTTAAATCATATGATGGTGATACTAAAACGTGATCATTTCTTGCAAGGATGTTTTTTTTAATTATCAACATAAGGCAAAATTAGTACGAAAAATATGGTTAAAATGTAGAATATACTTGAAACTATTTTGCGTCCCAATGTATTTTGCATTTTGAGTTCTCATTGGACGAATTATTGTGCTATGAAAGAAGCAGGTCCACTTTTTGAAGTGAACCCCATAACGCTTTTTCGGACATTTTTGTTTGTATAAATGTGTTCGCATCTTCCAGCTGAAGGTCCTGGAGTTGAAAGCTAGATGCCAATTTTATACATGAAAGATCGCCATTTAACATCGCACTCATTTCATTTTTAATATTATTCATTCAGAATTGAAAACAATAAGAAATGTACACTTCAATATAGAAAAACGAAAGTATTGAAAAAAGAAAAATAATCTTCAACTGGTTCGCTGATTTCTTTTACGGCAAATTTTTAAAGGTCCTTATGAAGTTTGTCTGTAGAATGTACTATTATTTTGAAATTCGATTCCATATTAGAATTCCAAAAAAAAAAAAAAAAAACACTACAAAGGTACATTCGTAAATTGTAAGTCAAAATGGAAAAAAATCATGCAAAATAAAACATTACTATTGCACATTTTAAAAGTCAAAATGAAAATGTTCAAAATTTCACATTTTTACGCGATTATTTTGGATTTTATGCTTTTCTGCCAAGAGGCAATTCCGAATTTGTCTGAATCGTTAAAATCAGTAACTAACACAACTTTCTTTTACATATAGAGAGACAGATTTAAAAGTAGGCGCGTTCCTCAGCCCCTAAATAAATACTTACGGTTGGATGGAAAGCCAACAGTATCTCGTGTAATAATTCTCAAACCGATATCTTCATTATTTTGGCAAATATAAGGATTTTATATAAATCGAAATAGTGGGGTCAATATAAAAAGTAGGCGTGGTCAATATATTTTTCTTTAAAAACCTAACTCGGGGTATGACGAATGTTTGTACAAAAAATTATTCAAATCGGTCCACCGGTTCTCAACTGATTCCATTACCAACGAACAACAATTGATTTATATATATATAGATATTCTCTGTTATATGTCCACGATTTCCTATAGCGCTCATATAAAACTACCTTTAGGTACTCCGGATTTTAATGATTACATGCAGATTGTTCAACGGAAATGTTTTTATGTGACGTTCGCAATAGAAACCAACCACTTAAACAGACAATTGCCTACAAAGGTCCACGTTTTCCACCCTTTTTATACCCTCCACCATAGTATGGACAATCATAATTGTCATTACGTTTGTAACACCTCAAAATATACAATTTAGCCGCAGATCTAGTAGATACTACCAATTATTATATACTGATTTTCCCGGCACGAATTATTCAATAGGCGAACCTCTTAGTAAAATGTGTGTTGTTGATAAAAAATAATGTATATATTTTCTAGATCAGCATAAAATTCTATGTCGATTTAATGATGACCGTCAGTCGGTCCGTCTGTGGATATCATTATAGCTTCCGAACGAATTGAAGTAGATTAATAAAACTTAAATGTGTGTTTCGTCTGCAGGACTATAGCCTATAACAGAAAAGTGTCTGTTCAGGTCCACGTTTTGGTATAGCCCCCATGGTACCTCCCTATATTCGGTATTTTGATGAATTTAGCTACATTATTCACCGATTTTTTTTTTAAGTTTCGCATTTGAATATGCTAATGGCTTATGACAAAAATTACCTATGCAGATCCACGTGGTCGTATAGACCATAATATAACGGGTACATTCGGATTTTTCAAGTTTTTAACTGAGTTTTTAACGGATTTTATTTTTTTGAAAATTGCCAAATGCGTTTCGAATGGTGGAGGGTATTCAAACTCTGGAGCGGCCGAACTTTCAGCTTTTTACTTGTTTTTATTAAAATTGATTTCATTTTATTTTATTTCCGTTTACAGAATGGTTTACGATATGGAAATTTGCCGGTCTTGGTGATACTTACAGGCGAGGATATGTCCTACGATTGGCCAAGGAATCGAGTTACCGGTTTAGATTTCGCTGCCGAAGGTTTAGTCGTCATTACCATACAATATCGGACAAATATATTTGGTTGGATGAATGCAGCCGATAACAGTGAACTCAACGGGAATTATGGCCTGCAAGATCAAAGACTAGCTTTGGAATGGATTCGGGATAATGTTCAAAGTTTAGGTGGCAATGTCAACCAAATAACTTTGTTGGGCCATGGGACGACAGGTGCATCATGTGTAGTCCTGCATTACGTTCTGGGGTATCAATCATCCATCGGTTCTCCCACCACACCCCTATTTAATCAGATGATACTAATGTCCAGTGGAAATATACAGAAGCACTTTGGGTCTGTTTCTACGGTGCAAGAAGCCTCCAAAGCTCTTATACAAAAGTTGGGCTGTCAATTTGAGGAACATGGAAGGCAAGTCGTGTCATGCCTGCGCTCCAAAAGTGTTGGTGACTTGCTCAATGCCTTCGAGAGCATTTACAACCATGGCAATATCTCCCACCACTTGGCACCCAGTGTGGACTTTAATTTCGACTCAATTCTAACAAATTCGAGCGTAATGAAAAGCTTTCCCAACACCATGATAGGCATTACATCCAATGAGGGGGCATTCCTACAAGATTATTGGCTTGAATTAGCCCGCGATAGTTATGCCAGTTTACGCACGTACATCAACAACACATTGCTGCCGAAAGCTCTGCCCAATTTCCGCGCTCCAAACCAGAATTATGAAAAAATATTCGAAGCCCTGAATTGGCGTTACTTTGGCAACGGTCTCGAAGGCGATCGAATTCAACTGCTCAGTTCAATACAAAACTTCATTTCGGAATACGAATACGAAATACCATTTTATCGCTTATTAAATCAAATTACAAACTCGTCTGCGCCGGGCGATATTTACGCCTATGTGTTCGACTTTGACAATTCGATGGACATGCGCGGCAAAGTAAACCTATTTGGCGGTGCTTCCCACACTTCGGACCTGCCCCTGATATTTGGACCATCTTTGTTTCAGCAAATAGCTCGGCGACGTTTTACCATTGAAGAAGAGAAAATGTTTCGTAAAATCAGAACGCCAATCATAAGTTTTATAAAAAGTGGCAGTCCCAATCCTGGACGCGCATATGATGGCTGGTTGCCCTATTCCCAACAAAATAAGTTTATTTATAACCTGGGCGAAATGTGGTTGCCCAAGCAGGAAAATAGTCTGACTCTGGATGCGAAAAACAGACAGCAAATCAAAGAGCTGATTGATATGGAAAAAATTATTTCATCCCGACCACGACCAAATCGCAATGAATTCAGCAATTCCTACCAAATGCCTTCAGACAAACGCTCGATTCTCAATTCAACAGGGAATTCCATTGCAAAACGAAACACCGAATACTCATTGCATTTAAAACGGGTCTACGGATATTGGCAAGTCTTCTTGCCACAAATTTTTGCCTCATCTAATGGCCAGTACAGCGACGACATTGTCACCCAGCATTTGCTCTACAAGGAAGCTTCAGCGGATGCGGCCCGATATAAACACGGGTTCTTTGTAATGTTGGGACTTGTTGCGGTTCTTCTTAGCCTATTGGGTCTGTGCATTTACTTGCTACGTCGCGATCCTTTGGATCCATCACCGCATTGTGATTGTGATTTATGACATAAGTGGACCCTTCGGCAAACATTGTTTAATTGCTGCTCCAAGAAAACATTTTCATCACATCCTGACGTGACTCATGAATTCAGTCAGCCCGCAATTGCAGATAATTGGTGCAGAGAAACACGTTTGCCGAAGCACAACAACTACCCAACACCGAAGCCATTCGTCGACTACAAACAGCGTCAACGGCAACCCACTATAGAGATACCAACCCGAAGCAGCAATCGTCGCAAATCAACTAGAAGTGAATTGAAATCTTTGGATGCTGCAAAAAATACACCGACTCCGACACCGGCATCGAAATTGAAATCAATAACGACGATAGTGTCCCAACAGAATTCTGTGGTGAATTCCCAGCAATCATCCCAACTTCCACACTTCACGGATCCAAATGGTATTCGAAATTGGCAATATCAGTTGACTTGTGAGAAACTTTGAGAAACTCAGCACATTGCGTCCGCATAATATTTGTTGAACAAACTCGCAGTTTTTCGTCCTAAATTTTACAATCTCGCACACCAAAGAATAGATTTTAAGTAATTTTGTGTATGTATGTTATGTATAATTAATTTTTTTGCAATAAATATGTATGTGATGTACCAATTTCATTCCATTTACAGCTCTGTTCCGGAACCTAAAAGACTCGACCATTTGTGTCATGTGCTTTAAATGGCATTTCGTTTGTGTATATATTCTTGTTCAACGAAAATTCTATTTTTTTATGGATGTGGATGCTAGTCCGTATGTTGTAATACCTTGATACTAGACATATTTAGAGATGTAGATCTCTCTATCTTAAACGTGTTTCGATTTAGGGGTTTCGCACATAGTTTTCTTAAGATTAGTTTTTGTAGTTTTAAATGGCATTTTGGGTCAGAATTTTAGCTCCATCTACTTTAATGATTTCTTCAGCGTTTTTAATCGAAATTGTTTCTACCTGTGCCTAATAATTAAAAAACCATCTGGAATTAAAGGGTGTACATAGGGCCTCGTTATGGTATGGCTCCCATACAAATATTCCGCCTGATGTTCGGTATGTTCATTCTTGGGATGAAACGACTATACTTGGGCATTACTCATTCTAACAGAATACACTGTGTCCTTACAAATAAGTGCATTTCCACTTATCGGTTAAACCACAACATATATTTTCGTCATTTTGAAGGCCTAGCCAACAATTTTCTAATTCTGCAGCTTTGAAAGAAACTCAATCGAATATCAAAACTCGATTCTCTTATTTTTCATTTAATCTTACTGAAGGATATAAAAGTTCGGTTCCATCAAACGTATCGTCTTTTTACACAATTCACCCATCGAAGAAATATATAACGACATCTCCCAATATCAAGGATTTTACCCACAGAATTTCCTGAAATTTGGTACTGCAAGTTACATTAAACAGAAATAACATATTTCGATCAGAAGTATAATTTCTGAGAATTTTAAAAGTTGAAATGATTTGCAGAGGGAATTTACAGCTAACATTTTTTTTCATTGAAAGAAAATGTCCCATAGAGAAGCTGCAGGTTTAAAAACTAGCATTTTATAATAAACAAGTTAAAAAGCAGTAAGTTCGGCCGGGCCGAACTTTGAATACCCTCCACCATTTGGAACGAATTTGGAAATTTTCAAAAAATAAAATCCTTAAAAAATTCAATTAAAATGTTAAAAATACCGAATATATCCGTTATATTGGGGTCTATACGACGTGAACCTACATAGGCATTGTTTGTCATAAGCCATTACCATATTAAAATTCGAAACTTGAAATAAACGGTGAATAATCTAGCTAAAATCGTCAAAATGTCGTATATAGGGAGGAGGCGAAGTCCGGGACCAGCGTAGACAATTTTATGTTACAGGCTGTAGCATCCACTACGAACTTCAAATACGACATCTCAAACAATTTCGGTGGATATTGTACATAAAATCGTCAAAATACCGAATATAGGGAGATATTGATATATGGGCCCTATACGAAGGCCTGGACCTGCATAGACAATTTTCTGTCACAGACTGTAGTTCCCATTACGACCTCTAAATACGTAATTTTAATAATGACCCTAAAATCATCAAAATACCGAATATTGGGAGGTACTGTTATATGGGGGCTATACGAAGACGTGGACCTGCACAGACAATTTTCTGCCATAGGCTGTAGTATCCATTATGAACTTCAAATACCAAATTTGAGACAATTCCGGTGAATAATGTCGCTAAAATCATTAAAAATACCGAATATCGGGAGGTACCGTTATATGGGGGCTATACGAAGACGTGGCCCATTTACGAACTTAACCTGCCTACTGGAAAAATAAACATGTGTGTAAAATGTTAGCCTTTTATCTCAATTCGTTAGAAAGATGCCTGACTAAGCGTGATTACAACAGACAGACAGACGGACGGACATCGCAAAATCGACTTAGAATATTACGCTGATCAAGAATATATATACACATAGTATGGTGGAGGGTATAAAAATTATTAACCCTTTTAGTGCCCGTAGCCGATATGTCGGTTCGCGGTTTACTACTCGCAATGCCAGAGAACTAGATACCAAAATAAATTTGTAATGCGTTATAAGTGATATAATTTCATTACAAGATAACACTTAAGTTGAGTTTAGGGGCTATGCTCGGATTGACCTGAAATATTTATCACAAGTGGTCATATGAGATGGAGTTGCTTGAACCGACTCCAGGAGTAATACAAGAAAACGGAACTTTTTGAAATCCTCCAAAAAAGCCACATTCTCGTCTTTAAAAAATGTTGGTGTGTTGATATCTCTTGTATTTCCGAAGATATTAGTGATAAAAACTGTTCCGGTACAAAAAATACAAAATTTCTTGAATTACTCCCGAATGATACCCATTTTGTACATATCAGTTTTGTAGAACCGGATAAAAAGGGGATTTTGTTACCGAACTTCTGGGGTAATCAGGCTTTAAATGTCTACCAGTTTTTTTTTTCTTGAACATATCGGTTTTGTGGAACCGGCTTAAAATACCTGCCAGTTATATAATTTGAAAATGATCCGAGCATAGCCAATCAATTTAAAACATTCGTTTTCTGTGTATCGTTTGGTTTTGACAAACATTTGTAAAACTGTGAAATTCAGCCCTTTCTCTCGCATAGGCATCTCTATTTCAGCCGGCTTTAAAAGTGTTAATATCCGCTCTACGTGACACACATTTATGTAATGCACTGAACGATAATAATTCGATTCTTTTAAGCGCATATTTATAAATTTCATAAATAAATTTATTTTTTACTTTTCAGCATTTTTGTTTTAATATTATCCTAATACTACTAAACACTTGTCTATCAATAGGTATGATTTATATATATATTGACAATCATTCTCGTATATCTTATAGATTTGGTTTTAACTACTTGCTATCTAATAATAATCTTCAGATGGTTCGGTGCCAAAATAACGATCACCAAAATTACCAATACCAGGTATGACATAAAATTTATCGTTGATTTCTGGGTCTAAGGCTGATGTTATTATTTTCACCTTAGGGAAGGCATATGCAATACTGTGTACGCCTATTTCGGCCATTAGCAACGATGCCAGCATTATGTTCTCCTCTTTGACATCGTGATCAATTAGAACTCTTATGGCCATCATAGCAGCCGCACCAGTGGCAACTGTGGCATCCATCAGTATGACTTTGTATTCGCGTATGTCCTTTGGCAAGCGTAGATAGTATAGTTCTGGTTCTTCGGTTTCCTTATTGGTTTGGATGAGAATCTTTCCAATACGAATATCCTTGCACACATCACAGATGGCCTGTTCCATAGTTTCACCAGCTCTTAAGATAGACACGCCACAAATTTTATTGGTAGCCATACGTTTTCCTTCGTATAATACCGCTTGGGGAGTTTCAACAACTGTCCTGTCGAATGGAAACAGGCTCAAAGCATACTCAATAACCAATCGTATAAGGCGTTTGGAGTAAAATATGAATTCATCTCTGGAAGTATTTTTGTTTCGTATGAACGTGTGCAGACCTTTCACTTGCGGTGTGGCTGGCAGCAAATGCAAAGAACTTGGCATTGGTTGGTCGTTGTAAGAGTTGGCCAAGGCTTCGCGTAGTTTAAAGCCACGTAGTTGGAGCTGTGTGTGGACATGTTGCACTATTAGCTGAATGGCTACCTTATTGTCCCCTCCGCGAGGCACAATAATATCAGCGTGAGCCATGGTTGGAGCAATATAATTGGCATATGAGGGCTTCACCATATTTAAGTACTGTTTGAGCACGCCACTCAAATCGCGACCACGCTGTGAAATATCCCTTTTGAGACGCCTAGCAAGGCGAATATCTGCATCAGTATCAACAAAAATCTTCATGTCCAATAATTTCAGAATCTCTGGACTATGAAATACTAGAATGCCTTCGAATATTATGACATTTGCTCCGTACATTGTTTTTGTGTGCGTTTCACGCGAATGTGTAACAAAATTGTACACTGGCACCTCCACCTTTCTACCCTCCTTGAGTTTTTTCATTACTTCCAGTAGCAGATCCATATCGAAAGCATCTGGATGATCAAAGTTGTATTCATTTAAAATAGCCTGTTCATGTTGCTTTTCGTTGAGCACCTTATAGAAACAGTCCATTGACAATAAAGTTACCCAAGGGACGTCCAGAGATTCAATAATTTTTTGCGCTACCGTCGTCTTGCCGGACGCACTTCCTCCACAGATACCAATTACAAATGGTTCCACCGCACTACCGGCACAATTGTACCAAGGAGGCCGGCCAGCTGTGTAAATGGTCCGGTTATTGGAGCGTATTACGCATTCTGATGGATTTGCAGTGGTCACCTGATTGTTCATAGACGTGGTACGTTGTCGCCTGCGAGGGGGACCGGTGCGTGCAGGCGACTCTAAGCATTGTGGAGTCCTTGCTGGCACAGTGGTCGGGGAAGCAGGACATCCGAAAAATTCACCCACAAGTCCACAACTAGGATCGATATACAATTGCTCAGTCAAATCGCCGCGGTCATCACTATCTGAACTGGCTGACGAGGATGGATTATAAAACTTTATTTGCCTTGACTGAGTTGAGGAATTGACACCTGAAGACATTTTTCTGTGTGCAATACGTGCAATTAATGCAATAAATTTCTTAATTAATCCGAATGTGAACACGCGACTAATCGATTTGTCTACGAAGACAATCGATTAATGATCTCCCGCCGTCGGACAAATTACAATGAACGCCGTCAACGTTCAATTAGGTCAATATTAACTGTGTTCCAACTAGAGTAGAAGCGTTAATTCTTACACACAAAAATGTGTAATCTCATGCCAGCAATAGCAATTTACAATGCATAATAAAATAGTTACGAGGTGGGGGCAGATTGATGAAATTTCTTAAACACAACCCCGAAAATAGAGATTAGTGGCATCTAATTTACAATTGTACAAAAGGAGGTGGAAAAGCTTCGTAAACTACAAAATAGAGGTCTGAAGCTATGCCCGCTTTATAATAGAGTCTCACGAAAAATTTATGAAATGTCTGACTTTTCTTTCAAAAATATGATCCAAACTGTTAATATATTTAATGAAATTACACATAAAATTGGGCACACTTCGAAAGGAAATGAATCAGCAGATTTAAATTTTCTCTTACTGAAATATTGTCAATGACAAATGTAATATTCTATAAAAAAATATTTTTTTAAGTTTTTGCATTAAAATTGAAGAAAATTATTGAATGTATAGAATTTTGGTCAGAAACATGGCTGAAACTGTTTCATTATTCGCTTCCATATCAAAGCTGGTCAAGTTCTATGCGCGCTTTGCAATTTAGATTTTACATTCCTGCAGTTATGGAACAAACCAATTTTGTTTTTATTTTTCAAAACAATAAATACAAACACAGTAATTATAGAAATCGGGTACAAAGAGAAGGTAAAAAGTTTCAGAGCTGTTATTTTTACATTTTAAAACAATAGCTCTGTTTCAGAACTGCATGTCTCGAAAAAATTTCAAAAAAATAGTATATTCTTGCAGGTTTTGCGAAAAGAGCAAATAGATACAAATACTCTATTCCAGAACTACAAGATTGTAAAACTTTTTTACAATAATATTGGATTTTTCCTTAAGATATCGGAAAAATGGAAAAAGTAGAATTCTTGCGGAGCACAATTTGTCAAAATTTTAATCAAATGGCACCGGTTCACCTACTTCAACGAACGAGCTATAAAGAAAAAGCTTATACATTATAAATGAATACCTAATCTACTGTTGTACATGAGTACTTCGGTATTCTAAAAATAGCAACATTAATTCCAAATAAAGAAGACAAAGAAAGTTGATCAAAACAAAAACCCCGACAAACGAAATTGACAAAAACAAAGAACAGGGATGCCAAACCACAGAACTTTTTACGTAAAATAATTAATTGTTTGAATTAATAAACAACATAAAACTTGAAAATTTTATTAAAATACATCATTTAATTTGCCATTCCAAAAATATTTTGTAATTTACTCAAGTTATTAAATCGGTAAGTTTCATAGAGTGGATTTGACCAAAAAATTAACAACTTGGCATCTCTGAATACATTTGCACGTGTTTTTGAAGAGAGCTGTTGTGGTTTGGAGTAGTTCTGAATATTTCACTGAAAAATCTGTTTTCTTTAAATAAGGTGGATAACAATCACGAGCACCATGGGGACTATGAAAACTTTTGATATCGACATGTTTCCATCCGATTTGGAATTCTCGGTCTTCACGGGCGACGAGATAAAACGCTTGAGTGTGGTAAAGGTAATAACAGGACTCACCTTCGATCCACTTGGACATCCATTGCCAGGTGGGTTGTATGACAGTTTGATGGGTACTTTTGGCAAGCGCATGGAACCCTGTGGCACCTGTTTGGATATACAAAAATGTCCAGGTCACATGGGCCACATCGAACTCAATGCCTTAGTATACAATCCTTTCTTCGTCAAGTTTGTCCAAAAAATATGCAATGTGTCCTGTATGAGCTGCAACAAGTTGCAAATAAAAGGTATAGTTAAATAATGATTTCATTATGAGAGAATTTAATAAATAACTATTCTTTTCAGATCATACACTTGAAATGTTATCTTTGCAATTGCGCCTACTCGAGGCTGGCTATGTAGTAGAAGCCCAGGAATTGGAACTTTATAAATCTGAAGTGGTTTTCAACAGCGAAGAGACTCGAGTAAAGACAGAATATGGGGACTATGTTCATCCTCGAGTTGCGGAAATATATCAACTATTGGGAAAAGGCCAAAGCAACCAGGTGAACATAACCAAAACCTCGCGTGCGGTACGTGCCGCAATTATAAATGCCGCATTGCAAAGGCCAATGTCAAAGAAATGTATGCATTGTCACGAGAACCTTAAAACTGTACGCTATATGCATCACAAGTTGGTATATTACATTAGCATTGCGGAAATGAAAAGCAAGTATGTATTGGTAAATGATTTTGCCTCATCGAAACATATACCTAATATCTATATAATTTTCAGATTCAGTGATAAAGAAGGTCTATCTGGTCAACATAAGGTCATCTTGGCAGATGAGTGTAGAAAATTTTTGCGCCAGGTTTATGAAAACCATTCTGAAATGCTAAAGCTATTTTTCCCAGTCTTACAACTTGTGTGCAAATCAAAGAATACTGATTTCTGTCCTGTTGATATATTTTTCATGGACACCATACCGGTTACACCACCCAAGGCACGCCCGTCGAATATTTTGCACGACCAAATAGTCGAACACGCCCAAACAGGACTTTATCGTAATATTATTGAGAATAATTCTGTTATTCGTGTCATTATGAAGCATATTAAAGGGGATTGCATGGATATGTCTGAGGAAGCACAGGTCCGTATGATTGGTATTTTATATCAAAAACTAAACTAAATACCTTTGATTATAGAATGTTTTTGCTGGTGCAAAGGGATCGAATGCCTATGAGAAGCTCTACAACGCCTGGCAAGCTTTACAAACATCAGTCAATGTACTACTCGATGTTACAATGTCACGTGAAAGCCAAAATTCGGCAGGTCTGAAACAGGTGTTGGAAAAGAAAGAAGGTTTGATACGTAAACATATGATGGGTAAGCGTGTAAATTACGCAGCGCGTACTGTTATTACACCCGATCCAAATATAAACGTTGAGGAAATCGGCATACCTGACATATTTGCTCGCAAATTATCTTATCCTGTTCCGGTTACACCATGGAATGTTGCTGAATTACGTAAAATGGTTATGAATGGTCCCGACGTACATCCAGGGTAATTTCTCATTTATCTCATTCCATAATGTTTTGCTTTAATAACAATGGCATTCATACTTTTAGTGCTAATTATATTCAAGATGAAAGAGGCTATACGACCGTTATACCAGCAAATAATGCTGCCAAACGTGAGAGTATGGCAAAACTATTATTCAACTATCCTGAAAAGGGTATAAAAATTGTCCATCGCCATGTTCTAAATGGCGACATTCTACTATTGAACCGTCAGCCGTCTTTGCATAGACCTTCTATAATGGCTCACAAAGCTCGCATCTTACAAGGAGAAAAGACTTTCCGTCTTCACTATTCAAATTGTAAGGCATACAATGCTGATTTTGATGGTGATGAAATGAATGCTCATTTGCCTCAAAGTGAAGTTGCACGTTCGGAAGCATACAACCTGGGTAAGTGCCATGAAGTAATTTATGACAGTGCTTTTTAAAATAAATTGTGTTTTTACAGTTAATGTTGCAAGCAACTATCTGGTACCTAAGGATGGTACCCCATTGGGTGGTCTGATTCAGGATCACGTGATTTCTGGTGTAAAACTTTCAATTCGTGGCAGATTTTTCAATCGTGACGACTATCAACAGCTTGTCTTTCAAGGCTTGTCTCACATCAAAACGAACATAACACTTTTGCCACCGACCATAATAAAACCGATACAACTGTGGTCAGGAAAACAGGTAATATATTTATTTTGTTTTTTTTTTTTTCAATACCTTGAAGGCCAATTAAACATGTATTGAATGCAAAGTAAATCATTAACAAATATTACTAAATAGCTTTAATAATACGATATATATGATATTGATTTGATTTGCTTTCAGGTACTGTCAACAATTATAATAAACCTGATACCAGAAGGATATCCAGCAATTACATTAAATTCTGTGGCAAAAATAGCATCAAAGGTAGGGCGAATGTTATAATAAAATTTGAACAATTGAAAACAATTTTATTATCAAATTTTAGCACTGGAATGTTAACAAAAATCGCTTGGCATTGGGCGGTGGCAATTCATTAGGCGAAAATGAAATGTCCGAAAGTCAAGTAATAATACGCAATGGCGAACTTCTTGCCGGTGTGTTGGATAAACAACAATATGGTGCCACCACTTATGGTCTCATTCATTGCATGTATGAGGTATGAGAAAAGTAATATTCCAAAGGAGGTTGATTTTCAGAAACATGTATTTTATTTTAGCTCTACGGTGGTAATACATCGACCTGTCTACTAACTGCTTTTACCAAGGTGTTTACGTTTTTCCTACAACGTGAAGGCTTTACCTTGGGCGTTAAAGATATTTTGGTAACAGCTGAAGCTGATGCCGAACGCCGTAAAATAATTCAAGAAAGTCGTGAAATTGGCAATACAGCCTTAGCATCAGCTCTGGACTTAGAAGATGTGCCATCATTGGACGTATTGTCGGAGAAAATGGAAGATGCCTACATTAAAGATCCGAAATTCCGTGTAATTTTGGATCGAAAATATAAAGCTTTGTTAGATAGCTACACCAATGATATTAACAAGTAAGTGAGCGCAGTTAGCAAAATGTATTTATGTTTCTCTTACAGTCATAACCGGTCTTTTCATGTTTGTTTGCCAGAACCTGCTTGCCTAATGGTTTAATTACCAAATTTCCCGAAAATAATTTGCAATTGATGGTTTTGTCTGGTGCCAAAGGTTCCATGGTCAACACAATGCAAATTTCTTGTCTATTGGGTCAAATCGAATTGGAAGGCAAACGTCCACCACTCATGATCTCCGGTAAATCCTTGCCCAGTTTTACTGCCTTCGAAACATCACCAAAATCGGGAGGATATATTGATGGACGCTTCATGACGGGTATTCAACCACAAGACTTCTTTTTCCATTGTATGGCTGGTCGTGAAGTAAGTCGGTCTAATTACCAGTGATATTTTCAAGATAATTTTAAAACTTGAATTTATTTTTCAATATAGGGTTTAATTGATACAGCTGTCAAAACCTCACGTTCCGGCTATTTACAACGTTGTCTTATTAAGCATTTGGAAGGTCTCTCGGTAAATTATGACTTGACAGTCCGTGATAGTGATAACTGTGTTGTGCAATATCTGTATGGCGAAGATGGTTTGGATATTTTAAAGTCTAAGTTTTTCAATACGAAGTTCTGCACGGAATTTCTTACTGAAAACTCTGCCGTGGTTGTGCGACCACAGGAATTGGCTACAATAAAGGTGGACGATGAGGTCAATAAAGTACAACGACACAATAAAAAAATTCGTTCATGGCTAAAGAAACATAATGCCGGATCTCAGATTGATAAAAGACACATTTCGGCATTTACTCATTTCTCGGCTGAACTGCGTAATGAAATCGAAGTCAATAAACCCAACAAATTGAACTCGAAAACCGGTAGAAGGCGTATTGATGAAGCCATAATCAAATTGTGGCGAAAAGCTGATGAGGACAGCAAAGCCCAGTACGAGAAAAAATATCCCCGTTGCCCAGATCCCACAAATTCTATCTATCGCCAGGATTCTACTTTCAGTTCTGTTTCGGAGAAAGTGGAACAAATTATTGCTGACTATGTGGCAATACACCCCGAACGTAAGGCTGCAGTCAGTGATGTTATGTATGTAAAGAATGCAAAAGCTTTGGCAGCCCCCGGAGAACCTGTCGGTCTCCTGGCTGCTCAATCAATTGGTGAACCTTCCACACAGATGACACTCAATACCTTTCACTTTGCCGGTCGTGGTGAAATGAACGTCACATTGGGTATTCCACGTCTACGTGAAATTCTCATGATGGCCTCGGCAAATATTAAAACTCCCTCCATGGACATACCAATTAAACCAAATCAAGAAAAGAATGCAGAAAAATTGCGTCTATCGTTGAATAGAGTAACTTTGGCTGATGTATTGCAATGTGAGACTCGGAATAACTGATTAATAACCTATATTTCATTAATCATGAATTTTCTTCCTCCTTCTTTTAGATGTTAATGTTAAAACTCAACTGGTGCACAGACCTCAGAGAGCACAAAAATATGAATTAACCTTCCAGTTCCTGCCTCGAGAGGCCTACAGTGAAGACTTCTGTGTAAAACCAAAACAAATTATAAAGTATCTGAGCAAAAAATATTTTTCACTTTTGTTCCGCGCTATTATAAAATCAAATAGCACCAAGGCTGCCGTGTAAGTAATTGAAATTAGATTTAAAACATTTCTTCCAGCATTTCAATAATTTGTCTCTAATGCAGTATTGAAGTGGGGGAGACACAAAAAGAAGATTCCACGAACGATGATAAATTAGATTCTGGAGAAGCTGTAGCGCAAAAAGAAACGGCTAACAACGACAATGACTCTTCCGATGACGAGCAAGGAGAGGTTGATAATGATGCAACTGGTGTCAAACTGAAATCTCGTAAAATGGATGAAAACGAGTACGATGATCCTGACGAGGCTGAAGAGGTTAATGATGGTGTGTAGTCATTTTCTTTGGCAAAATAACTTATTTAAAGTCACTACTATACTATACTTTTACTTTTAGCAAATGTTGATGACGATGCTGCCGATGACGAGGAAGATGCTTCAGCTTCCAAAAACAACGAAAACGTAGATGATGACGAAGAGGAAGAAAAGCCCGGAAAGTCGGACAATATCACCGAAAAAGTTATGCTTAATTCAATGGTTGAGAATTATGTGTATGACAAAAAACACTATCTATGGGCCAAATTAACATTCAATGTGAGTAGAGCAGATTATGCTTAAGATATCAAAAGCATTTACAGATGTTTATTTTTAGTTGGATATGAAATATAAACAACCAAATATCTCATCCATCATCAAAGATTTGGCTGAAAAATCAGTCGTGCATCAAGTTGACAATATCAAACGCGCCATAATATACAAGGGCAATAACGACGAGCCTACCCTGAAAACCGATGGCATCAACATTGTGGAGATGTTTAAACACAATACCATTCTCGACCTTAATCGCTTCTATTCGAACGATATACACGCCATTGCTCGCACTTATGGCATTGAAGCAGCTGCCCGTGTTATTATCCAGGAAGTAACGAACGTCTTCAAAGTGTATGGTATTACCGTCGATCGTCGTCATTTATCGTTAATTGCCGATTATATGACTTTTGATGGAACATTCCAGCCCTTATCTCGTAAGGGTATGGAACATTCAGCATCACCTCTACAACAAATGTCCTTCGAATCATGTTTGCAATTCTTAAAGAATGCAGCTGGCATGGGTTGCGCAGATGAATTGAATTCCCCTTCGAGTCGTTTGATGGTTGGACTTCCAGTACGGAATGGTACAGGTGCCTTTGAATTACTTACTAAAATATGTTAAAGAAAAACACATTTCAAATAAAAAATGAATTTCGTATAAAAACACTTGCACATTTTATTGTGGACGTTAAAAAAATAAACTTTTCCCTATAAATGATCAATTTGAATCTTCTGAACTGTCTGAATAGGCCGATAAAAGCGACAAACCGCTACCACCTGTTGTGGAGGATTTTGTAGTACTGCTTTCCTCTTTTGAGCCAGTCGACGAACTACTGTTTTGCAGTGGTGTAGAATTTTCTATTTGGGTTTGGTTATCAGAAGCGTTTGATGGTTTAGGCCTCACCACAACTAACGGTTGTTTACGTTTTACAATATTATTGAGACCGAGTTTTCCACTCGGATTTGCATTATTGCTCCCCGCAGGTTTTTTGAATGTGATACATAATTCACTCGTTTTTTGAACTTTGGAGGGCGTCGGTTCATCATCTTTAATTTCCTCGATGATTTCTTCAGCTACAATCTTTTTTGAGCAATCTGTGTTCTTATTTTTGAAGTTAATAGACCTACAAAGAGATTGGAAAATATGAGAATGCCGATTTAAATGTTCATGAATAAACAATTAACTTACTTTATATATTCCTCATCCTCTCTTTCCTGCCTTTCTAGCCGTTCTCTTTCGGTTTCCTTTGTGTTGTACTGTTGCAGCATTGTCTCGTAGTCCACCGTTTCCTGTCTGCGATTCAAATCCCGTAACTCTTCCAAAGATTCCAACATCTCAATTTCATTTCTAGACTGCTGTGTACGATTCTCCAATAATTTCATCGGATTGTTAGCTTCTTCTTCTCGTAGTTCCTCTTCCTCACGACGAGCTTGCTCCTCAGCCATTTTCAATGCCATAAAGTTTCTTGTAGCTCCAGCTTCGATTTCATAGTCAGTATTTTTGGGGTCTGTTTTGAAGGAAATTTCCTGAAGACATCGAGTACATTTGATATAGAAACGATAGATTCGTATCCCCACATATGTTTCGTGTTCTACGTCTTCCTTGCGGGCATTGAATTTCTTTCCCTTGTAAATGTATTCGCCGCATGTCTTGCAACGCATATTAAACGGAGCCATCAAACGTACAGTGTATTGCCGATTTTTCGACAATTTCATGCGCGGAATTTTCGATGGATCGAAATCCGGCGGATAGTATTTCTATATTGGAAACACATAACCATAATTATTTACATTCAAATAAATTATTTACTACTTACATTCAAAACTTTACGCTCAGACATGTTGCTCCAATATAATTTAAAAAGGAAATAAATTAACAATTTACCCCAAAACACGATACGGTTACACTGAAACGAAAGACAGCACAGAAAGAAATCTGAATAAAGATGTGTAATCAAAACAGAAAGGCTAACAACCGAGTACTCGACTACTCATAGTCGATTGTTCGACTTATGCTATGTTCTCATTGCAATTTCAATCACGTCATTCGCTGTCAGTATTAGGTACACGAATTAAACCGTTTGTACGGCACGATTCGTAATTCATAGTAACATTATTTACTTTCGTTGGAATGCACATACGACATTCAACATTATATGTTTCATTCATAATTTTCAGTTTTAATGAAAAGTTTTACATTTTATTACATTTTTCTATTTTGAAATGTCTTCATTTATTTTTTCGATAAATGCTCTCATTTGTTAGGGCTGAGAGTGGAACGAGGAAAAAAATCTTTGTTCGATCAGAAAATTTTGTGCGGGGAAATAAGTGGTATGGTCGAACAACGAATAGAAAGCGAATAACGTGCCATGTGAACTTAGCATTACTTTACGCACTGTACGTGGTAGAAGAATATAGGTAGACGCGTCGACACAGCTGCTGGGGCAATGAACTGTCAAACCAATGTTGGAATTGAAATTTTTTTTTATTATTGTTTAATTTATTGAATCTTTCATATATTTAATGAAAATAACAATAAGGTTTCATATCTTATATACTAATATTTTTATAGGGAGGTTGTCAATACAATCACCCCATATTTTTTTCATGCTTTAATTATTATTGTTTTTTTTTATGATATAGATGTGTGTTATTTTGTGGGCTTGTGGATACGGTTATATCCGTGAATTGATTGAGTAGGTAGTTAAGATTAGTTTAGATACAGATATATCTAAGTGAATCACGGACTACAGAAATAGTCTTACGGATATAATGTTGCTTTGTTTAGATACAGTTATATCTAATCATCCCGCGGACTACAGTAATAGTCTTATCGATTTCTTCACTAATTTTCCCGCGGACTACAGTAATAGTCTTTTCGATTTCTTCACAGAAGCAGCTTCCAATTTAGCATACTACTACCTGTAGAAGTATAAAAGTGGGCGACGTTCAATTGGCCAGACAAGAGCTGAAAATAATGAGAGCGTAAGACAAAAAAATAAACTATATTATAGAAAGAGTGTCACGTCTGCGCAGTCTATCGTGTCCTCCGAATAGTAGGAGTTGGCGGGCCAAGTTATTTGGGTGCTCGGATAGTTTGTTTAAGTACTTGCGGCAAAGCTTCTTTATTTCTTCTTCAACAGTAAGTATATTTAGGTCCTTGTGGATGTTTGCGTTCCTTATGTACCATGGTGCACCTGTAATAGATCGAAGAATATTCGACTGTCTTCTTTGTAGTTTACTTACGTTAGAGGCACTAGCTGTGCCCCAGAGCTGTATGCCATACGTCCAAATTGGCTTTATTATAGTCTTATATAATAGGACTTTATATTCTAATTTAATAGAAGAACGTATACCAATTAACCACTCAAGATTGGCCTTTTTTAGTTTAATTTGTGTGATTTTTGCATCGATGTGTTGCTTCCATGTAAGTCTTCGGTCCAGGTGCATTCCGAGATATTTTACGGTATCTTTCTGTGGAACTTGAGTATTAAAGATTTTTATAGTGGGGCAAAGTTCACGTCTTAGAGCAAAAGTAACATGTATGCACTTGCTTGCATTTACCGATATTCTCCATTTTGTCAGCCAATTTTCGAGAAGATATACATGGTATTGTAGTTTTTCCGACGCAATCAGAGGATCCTTGTGTATGCTAATGAAAGCAGTATCATCAGCAAACGTTGAGGTTAGAGTTTCATTGGTTGTGGGCATATCGGCAGTAAATAACACGTACAGAATTGGTCCTAAGATACTACCCTGTGGGACGCCAGCCAATATTTTTCTCGAATTTGAAAGTATGTCTTTCGATTTAACAACAAACGTACGATTTGACAAATAACTACAAACAAGTTTATGAGTGTTTTTAGGTAGAGTTTCACAAATTTTGTATAGAATTCCAAGATGCCAGACTCTGTCAAACGCTTGGGAAATGTCTATAAATAGCGCCGAGCAGTACTCCTTCCTTTCGAATGCCATTCTAATGTTTGTGACTATGCGGTGCACTTGCTCAATAGTACTGTGGTTCTTACGGAAGCCGAATTGGTGGTCGGGGATAATATTGCTATTTGTAATATGGGGAGTTAACTTCCTTAGTAAAGTTGTTTCGAACAGCTTTGAGAGTATAGATAGAAGACTGATGGGTTAACGGCCGGTGTTGGTAATTTCTTGAGCATGATTGGAGTAATTCTATCTTTACCCGGGGATTTTTTTAGTTTTATCGAGGCTATAGAACTTTCGATTTCTTTTAGAGAAAATCGTATTGGATTCGGAACAATGTCGTCAATTAAAGGTTGAACAACCGTCGATGGTCCGGGATTTGGGGTAAATACAGATTCAAGATGTTCGGCAAATGCGTTTACTTTTTCTTCTGTAGATCTTGTTGAATGAAAAATTATTTAAATTTGTAAAAATTGCTGAAAAACGCGAATTATAATAGCAGTATAAGACGCAGTATAAGAAAACATATAAAAATCTACTTGTATTTGAAAAAACATTTAATTTTTTTTGACATATCAATGCTCCCAAGCGTTGATGCATCTAACTGTATTCTTCTGCCATGGCACTGTATTTTCAAATTCCTGTTTAACAAAGCAGCTTTGAGCATCCTCGAAAGAAAAAGTATAAACAACGCATATATATTCTCTCTCGATTTTCATTTGCTATTGATTTAGTAAGCCAAGAGAGTCTCTTACCACTACTAATGTGTATATTAGTTGTGTTCCAGTACTTTTTTAGTAGTAAAACTAGCAGAAGAGAGAACAGTTCGAAATGTCATTCTCATTTATGTTTGCTCAAAAAATAAGGGAACGGAAAATTAGCAGAAATGCGATAAAATGTCAAAATTCCAAAAGTAAACAGCCTAAATCGGACTGGTAAAACATTACTGAAAAGAGCGCCAACATTTAAAAAATGAGTATTGTAGACGATAAGTTAAAATTAATAATTTATAATAATAATTAATAATCTGATTCCTCATTCAGCCAGTCCTCTTCACTGCTGGAATCATCCAAAAGTGAATACATCAGTTGCTCCATATTTTCTCTTTTTGTTTTTTGCACGACAAATATTAGTTTTCTCTTTAGTTTTCAAGTTGATCATTTTCTTTATTGAAATGTATCAATACATTTTTCAACCTTGTTAGCCCTGCCAATTTAATGTCAAATTTACAATATGCACATTTCTGCTCGGCCAAATTCATGTAGCTAAAACAAGCAGAAATGTGCACCACTCAGCGCCATTTTTTTCTAGAGAGAGCTGCAAGTTTTGCTAGTTTTTGGAGTACGGGAACGCGTTGTAGCAGAATTAGTGCTAATTAGTACTAATTTGCAGGTTCTGGAACACAACTATTATGAGCAAGGCTGAACATGTTGCCAGATTGTTGAACAAAAAGGAAAAGATGAAAATAATCAATCCAACGGGTTGATATCCGGAGATTTTGGTGACCATTGCGCGCTGGAAATGAAGCGAGGAACCTCATTTTGTAACCATTCTTGGGTGGCGCGGCCAAAATGTTTGCGAGTCCAAGGCTTTAATACACCCTCCAGAGTATAGTATAGTATTTTCGAGATAATATTCGGCATTTATTCTGTCGATTAATACGAGCGGAGAGCGAGCATCGGCTGTTATGGCGGCCCACACTATCACCATGACCGGCGCTTGAGTTCTGGTGGTCAACCGAAGGTGTACATTTTCAGCTGACCTCTTTGGCAAGTAAACACGATCATTTTGTTTTTTCATCGCAGAAAACCAAATTCGATAGTTCACCACTTCGGCCAAGCGAAGCAACTCTTTAGCTCTTTTGAGTCTATTTTCTTTTTGTAGCGATGTAAGTTCTTGCAATTTTTGGAATTTCAATGGCTTTATCCCGAGCTCATTTTTTAATATTTGCCGAAAGGGATATTGCGATATGTTCAGCTCACGCCATTTTTCATTTCGGCCACTGCTACGCCGGTTTCGATCAAGTCGCTTCTTTAATTTTCGAACCGTTTCTGCTGATGTTGCTGTTTTCTTCCGTCCACTTCATTTACGTCGTGCTACGCTACCAGTATCACGGTAACAAGCGATGGTACGAGACACAAAAGATTTATTCACATTTAAATGCTGGAGTGCTCCACCGATCGCCACTTGTGGTTTTCCAGCCAAATATAAATTAATCACACTATCACGCTTGAATTCCGTCACGAATAACTTTTTTCTCTAAAATGCTCACCAAAATGCTTTTGTACGCTTGTAACAATATAATGAGCTGTCACTGGAATAATTTTAAAAGCTGTCGGACGAGTGGCTTAGAAATACTTTATAGCAGTGCATTGTTAAGTAGTTTTTACCAACATATTTTAGGCCGTCCATGTTTTCCAAAATGGGATTTTAGGACAAAAACAAAGCAACCAGACGATTAAAGGTGCATGTACACATGTACGTACGAATGTTTATAAGTTGCAATTACTCACATTTTTCTTTTTGCCATGAAATTATTTCATTGTTTTATTCATACATTTAAATAAACATACAGTATTATATATAATATTTATACTTTATATTTGGCCTATTGTTTGGTTGTATGTACATATGTGTATATGTTTTTATCACTTGTAATACTTATAATTTACTTTAATTACTACTTTCATTTACATAAAGCTTTCGTTGTTTTCATGGACATTTGGCGGCCTATCTAGGGTGTGCTGGCGATTATCGCTTAAGGAACTCATGTCGGAAGCATTACGTATGGAGTTTGTGCCATTCGCCGAGGTGCTCGTGGCATTTTCAGCATCGCTCTCTGGGCTGACTCTTCGGCGAATGTCGGGCTTTTCATTCGGTCGTTGGGGGTTCTTGTGCTTTACCAATTCATAGGTACATGTGTAGAGGAATGTGTATTGTGCCAGACTCTGGACCATTTTCATGCGTTGGAAGCGCAGCTTTTTGACCGTTTCATAAATATTTACTTTGGATTCATTCTTGAGGCGTTGCATAATAATGTCCAAACCTATGAAGGTGCCAGTGCGGCCAACACCGGCACTACAATGCACCACAATGGGAGAGTAGCTGGGAATCTTTTCAGCCTTGACTTTGCGAACGAATGTAATCAGATGCATGGGATCGGTGGGTACGCCGTAATCTGGCCATTTCTTGAAATAGAAATGTACCACCTTCTGTTTAAGGCCGAACATTTCATGTACGACAGACAACTCGGTGCGGTCATAAAGATCAAATATGTCCTTTTTCTTTTCGGTCACATTAATACCCTTCGATTTGTACGGATAATATTCATGGCATTTAATCTGCGTTGGAGAAATCAGATGTTGAGTTTGATGAAAACGCAACAAAGATAAAAATATAATTGCTTACCACATCGCCCTCTCGAAACTGAGTTACCATAACAATAACGCGGACATTATGTTGCAATACCATGCGCCAAAAATCTGTGGTACTTTCTGGTTTTGGTCCTTGCGTTGCGATGTACTCCTTGCGTCTGCGATAACCCTTTGATTCAATAAAAGATTGATTTTCTATTACAATCTAATTTTTTCATGAAAGGGGTCATGAATTACTTACATCTATAAAAGAAGCATTGATGTAGTCCGAACCATCTGCATCGATGTCCAGAATAACACGATTTTTATCGTCTGCAAAACAAGAAGAGAGAGAATGAAATAATAAATCAGCCACTCTATATTACAAAAGGATATGTTGACCACGAGTTGACTGATATCGTGGTAAGTTGTCGTGCCATGGATAACCGGCCGGGGTAATTCAACCCACTGACAACCAGTCTCGACTCTTATTACTTGCTCTAATTGTACAGCATCTCTACCGCACTATATAAACGTTTACATACTTTATCTCGAAAAATCGAAGCAATAAATATCAAAAAAAAAAAGTAAAAAGGCAGTAATTTCGGCTCGGCCCAACCTCCACCATTTGGAACGAATTTGGAAAATTTCAAAAAAATAACATTCGCCAAAAATTCTCTTAAAATCTTAAAAATACCGAATATAGCCGTTATATTGGAGTCTATATACAGGCGTGTACCTGTATAGACAACTTTTGTCATAAGCCATCATAATATTTAAAAACGAAACTTGAAAAAATACGTGAATAATGTAGCTAAAATCATCAAAATACCGAACATAGGGAGGTACTGATAAATGGGGCTTGTACGAAGGCCTTTACCTGCATAGACAATTCTCTGTCATAGACTGTAGTTCCCATTACAAACTCTAAACACGAAATTTGAAACTTCGTTGAATGATGTCGCTAAAATTTCCAAAATATCGAATATTGGAATATGTACCATTGGAATATTACCATAAACAATTTTTTGTCATAGGCTATAGTACCCATTACGAATTCTAGGTACGCAATTACAAACAACTCCGGTGAATAACGTCTCCAAAATCGCCAAATATTTAATATCAGGGGTTTCCGTTGTATGTGGGCCATAAGATATTTTGAACATATATAGTATTTCTCTTCCTGGGAGTAAAGTGCTGGGAAAAAACTTTTAGTATGGATTTTTAGACAATTCCATTCAAAAATGTTTGCTAAAATCATCAAAACATCGAATATAGGGAGGTGCCGTTATATTGGGAATAACCGATATCGTGGACCTATATAGACAATAATCTTCCAGGGGATGAAGTACTCAGAAGGAAATCCTCATGAGGATTTTCAGACAATTTTATTAAAAAATTTGGCTACCATCAATAAAATACCGAAATCGGGGGTACCGTTATATGGGGCTATACGATATCGAGGACTTATATAAACAATTGGTCCATTGGAAAATGTGGCTAAAATCATCAAAATACCGAATATCGTGGGTTGCCGTTATATTGGGGCTATACTATATCCTGAACCGACATATATAATTCTCTTCCAGGGGGTAAAGTACTCACGAGGAACTCCTTGTGTGGATTTTCAGACAAGTCCATTGGAAAATGTGGCTAAAATCATCAAAATACCGAATATCGGGGGTACCGTTATATGGGGCTATACGATATCGAGGACCTACATATATAATTCTCTTCCAGGCGGTAAAGTACTCACGAGGAACTCCTTGTGTGATATTTCAGACAAGTCCATTGGAAAATGTGGCTAAAATCATCAAAATACCGAATATCGGGTGACACCGTTGTATGGGGCTATATAGCCCATCTTCGAACTTGTCCTGCCTGCAGACAAAAGACTGAGCTGTGCAAAATTTTAGCTTCCTATCTTAATTCGTTTAGACTGTAGCGTGATTACAACAGACGGACAGACGGACGGACAGGGCTAAATCGTCTTAGAATTTTACGCTGATCAAGAATATATATATATACTTTCTTATGTCTAAAATGATTATTTCAATGAGTTACAAACGGAATGACGAACTCAATATACCCTCCATACCATAGCAGAAGAATACAGGTAGATGCTTCAACGCTTGGGAGCATTGATATGTCAAAAAAAAATAAATGTTTTTTTCAAATACAAGTAGATTTTTATATGTTTTCTTATACTAAGTCATTCGGAAGCTATTATAATTTGCGTTTTTCAACAATTTTTACAAATTTAAATAATTTTTGATTCAACATTTTCAATTCCAAAATTGGTTTGACAGTTCATTGTCCCAGCAGCTGTGTCGACGCGTCTACCTATATTCTTCTACCATGCTCCATACTATGTATGGTGGAGGGTATAAAAACATTATCTTCCCAAAGTTGGCGTATGTGTTTCGGGGAAACACATTTAATAAATTCCTCTTTACTTCATTTATTTCTTTTTTTTTCAGATATGGTAAAAAATGCAAAAGGAAAAACAAGGGAAATAAAGAGAATTATATAATAACTTGAAGGCCGTTTAAAACCTGCGATTTCTACTATTGAATTGAGCTCAAGCCTGAAGTTCTTTCTATTCGGGTTACCGGTAACCACATTATATATTTGTTTAAAATTATATGTTTGTTTAGCATTTTTATAATTTTACTTCTTTTCATTTAAGAAAAAAAAATGAGTTCACTTTAAGAACAACTTGTCTCCGTCCGGATTTTGAGTTAAATAAGTCGCTTTGGCAAGATATCTGGGCATACCGGACTACTCTCGCAATAAATAGCCGCTTCTCCTTCCTTAGATCAAATGCGCATTGATACAATACTTACATGGAAAAATATCGGCATATCGATTCTTGTTATATCCCATTTCTGATGCAGAGTAGCTCAAGTCCAATGCCACAGCGGTTAATTCCTTAAATTCACGAGCAATTTTATCCGGTTTCGATAATTCACGATAGTACATGGCAAACTTCTTCGAGGCAATGTCACCAAAAGAGTCCTCTATGCCGTGGCATGACTCACGTTGCCTGAAATGGAAAAAAAAATATGTTTAAAATTAGTTCAGGATTTGCACAAAACCCAAATGCCTACCACTTTAGGCGTTTCGTAATCCATAGATAAATGAAACCAGCTATGAATGCCAGCAGAAGACAACTGGATACACCGGCCAAAATTATTGTTAGTTCAATGAGTGCCTCGGTTCTGAATTCAAGCAAGGCGGCATCATTATAACCGGACTTGGTGAACAGACGTATAATCAAGTTGTACTCCGTGTCTGGGGAGAAGAGTTAAGTCAAGGGTTGCTCTTATGAGTGTCGTTAAACATGTTTTACCTGGCTTCAGAGGTCCATTGCAGTAGCGATTCTTTTCACTGACACAATCTTCAGTTCCAATTACATACTCTATTTCGCTTGACGATTGTCCTCGAGGATCTGGCGGCTTCCAACGTATTGGCGTTGTTTGATACTGAGCAATACACTCCACATTTTTATCCCCATACACTTCGCTCCAGGTCTTTACAGTTGGCCAGTTAATACTCGTGTCCATCGCACCGTACCTTAATTGCATTGCATCCTGATCACAATCCTGTGGAAGATAAATTTAAATGTTACAATGACACTGTACATCGCCAAAAAATAACAGCTTGAAATGTTAATTTTTACAATTATTTAATTAATTAGAACAAATTAAGGTCGAAAAATTAGCTAATAATGGTGATAATAAGGGTGAAATAAAAAACCGCAACTGTCGTATTTTTGCTTCTTTTTATTAAATGTTATTGAATGAAAACAAAAAAAAGTCGGAAATAGCATCAAATCTTAGAATAAGTTTAGATTTGTTCGAATTGGTCAACTTTGGCCCCGTCACACCATTCCCGGCGAAGAGCTTGCTTGAGGTGATCGATACTTTGGTATTTTTTAGTGCCAAACTTGCTTTCCAAAATTCTTCAGACACAATAGTCCAACGGATTGGTATCCGAAGATTTTGGTGGCCATTGTGAGCTGGAAATTAAGCGAGGAACATCATTTTGAAACCATTCTTGGGTGGCGCGTGCTGAGTGCGATGGTGGATGGTCCTGTTGGAATGTCCAAGGTCTGCGGCCAAAACGTTTGCCTGCCCAAGGCTTTTTCGCGATAATATTCGGCATTTATTCTGGTGCCACGGTCGATTAATACGAGCGAAGAGCGACCATCGGCTGCTATGGCGGCCCACACCATCATTATGGCCGGCGCTTGAGTTCTGGTGGCCAAACGAAGGTGCACGTGGGGATGCTTACTAAAGGACATTTGAAGACTTAAAATCAATGTAAACCACTTGAAAATTAGTCCCTGAACTAGATGTTTTTTTTATAGAAAATATGAATTTTGAGTGAGGCAGAATATAAAACTTAAAGCTTGGACCTTAAAAAAGTCATTTTGTAGCGACCAACGGTTAAAAAAAAAACAAGTACAATAGTATCAGTCGGTTTTGCCGACAGATGAATACCGTCAGCTTTTAGTTTTGATTATTCAATGTGTTGACCCTGAGTGTGATGGTGCTGAGTCCTGTTAGAATGTCCAAGGTCTGCCGCCAAAATGTGTGCGTGCCCAAGGCTTTAATACATCATCCAGAATATTTTCGCGATAATCTTCAGCATTTGTTCTGATGCCACGGTCGATTAATACGAGCGGAGAGCGACCATCGGCTGTTATAGCGGTCCACACTATCACCATGCCCGGCGCTTAAGTTCTGGTGGCCAACCGAAGGTGCACATTTTCAGCTGTCCTCTTTGGCAAGTAAACACGATAATTTTGTTTGTTTACAAACTGCTGGACAACGAATGTTTTCTCATCGGAGAAACCCAAATGCGGCAGCTCACTACTTTTAGCCAAGCGAAGCAACTCTTTAGCTCTTTTGAGTCCATTTTCTTGCTGTTGCGGTGTAAGTTCTTGCACTTTTTGGAATTTCAATGGCTTTACAACGAGCTCATTTGTCAATATTTGCCGAATGGAATATTGCGATGTGTTCAGCTCACGAGCCATTTTTCGGCCACCACGACGCGGGTTTCGATCAAGCCGCTTCTTTACTTTTCGAACCATTTCTGCTGCTGTTTTCTTCCGTCCACTTTCTTGGCTTTGGGCTAAGCTACCAGTATCACGGTAACGAGCGATGGTACGAGACCCAAAAGACTTATTCACATTTAAATGCTGGAGTGCTCTAATGATCGCCACATGTGATTTTCCAGCCAAATATAAAGAAATCGCACTATCACGTTTGAATTCCATTACGAATAACTTTTTTTCTGGAAAATTCTCACCAAAAATATATTGAGCTGTCAATGGAATAATTTTAACAGCTGTCGAACGAGTGGCTTAGAAATGACAGCAGTCTGAAATTGGTTGCAGTTTTTTCATCTCACCCTGTACATATTTTGGGAAGTAAATTGTTGTCATCAGGATCACAGACACATCACAATGACACTCAAACTGTATTCGTCAAACTATTAAATATGTACTCAGGACCTATAAGGCTACTTGTGGTATGGTAAAAAAAAACCAAAAGTATATAAATGGGCAAGATTGCCCGAAGAACTAGTTGTTTTAATTTCGCTCAACATTTATATTTAATTTAACTGACAAATTTTAAACTCGCTGCAATGTCAAGGCAAAAAAAAAATATGTGCCGCTCTAATAACAACTTTTGACAATATATGAAGGCGAAGAGTTGTATTTTTTGCGGAATTCGCCTTCTGGTCAATCTTATAGTTGGGCCATGGCCCATGGATTTTGAATAAAATAGTCATATTCATTACCTATACTTCAAATAAATCCTCTTAAAGTAGATTATCCCTACAAAAAGTTCTAACATAATCATGCCGCCTCCCTCCTTACTTATGTAGTATATTCATTATTAAGAAGAGGAATAATTCGTGAGAAAAAAATATACATACTTTTTGGGATAGTAGCAATGCTACATACAATATAGTTCCATATTCCGATTGTAAGACATCGGCTGGAAAACGTACAACAGCTATTTTCGAGGGGTTGCTGCTTTCGTAGGCCTCCACGCGGGCTTTTGTCATGGCCTCAGTATCCAATCGTTGTGGAACTACAACAAACATACCATTTCAACTTTAAAGGATGATTCATCCGAATGATTCATTCATTGTACTCACTTCCGGCGGGCGCATCAAATGCCGCATACGCATTTTCGCTGAGAAACTCGACACCCACCGTCTTGACGGATGCACTCACTGTGTAGTGGTATTCGGGTTTTAACTCCGTTTCGTTGTGGCTAATGAGACCGTCCTTACTAAAGTCCGGTATTATTTTACGCGTTATATTCTGATTCTCATAGCCATCTCGATGTCCGTTGAAATCGAGAAGAAAATATTCAATGTCACCATTCGATTTGCATGGAGAACTCCATGAGACAACCGCTTGAGCCTTGTACTCCAAGTCTGTTTCCAATGGACCTTCAACCATGGCTGTTACTTTTTGGATTCGTTCAGATACTGGATGCGACAAAGATGAAGTAGAATAAATATATATAAGTAATGATTTGGACAACAACAACATGCTCTCTCTTACTCCATGGCTTCGTGGTGATCATGGTGGGCGATGTAGATTCACTGATGCCGAAATCATTCTTAGCTGCCACTTGTATGCTGTATCTGGTATACGGCTGCAGATCATCGAATGTTAACTCCAATTTCGATGTCTCACGCGGCACCATATCCGTGTTGGTGATGCCACAATCCTTGGGAATGAAATAGGATGCTTCGACGCGCTTGAAATAGGTTATGTACATGTTGATGTTACCGTTGGCGTATTTCGGTGCATTCCAGGAAAACTTCAATGTGCTATTGGTTTGTGTGACTACGGTGATGTTTTCCGGCCTATCAGGAACTAAAATTGAGGTTCGTTAATTCAAGGGTTTTTAAAGGCACTATTTGAACGGTATTTTAAGATGCATTACTCACAATAGGCTTCGGTTCTCTTTACAAACGTTTTATTAGCCGACCAACCGCCAATGTTGTAAAGTCCAGCGTTACAATAATATTCAGTGTAGGGCGACAGGGGACCAATGTCCGTGTTGAATAGTATCACAAGTTGACCTTTGACATATTTCTCGGCTTTCTAAAAAAATAATAATCGTTGATAGGATGAAAAAAATATGATGACATCGGCGCAAATAAAGACATAGAATCTGCTTATTTATCTCAATTCATAAACCCACATTGGTATGGCCACATGAAAATTGAACCTTCACTGAAACGAGATAAAAGGGACTTTGGGGACTTTGCATATGAATGCCAAAGATGATCAAGGAATACAAAATAGATAATTTAGTTGAAATTTGAATAGGGCGGTGCATTCCACCTTACGACAGAGTTCCGTTACACCTGGAATTATCCAGCTATTATGAGCATTGCATGTAATGACTTGTACGAAACTTTGTACGAAGTCGGATGATACATATGCAAGAGGATTATGACTAAAGTTATATTTGAATATAAACAAGTAATCACTGATTTCAAAAGGACTTGCCAGGAAACGTAGTTTAAAATTATCATGACATCATTTGACATTTCTTTCCGTTGTAAAAGTTTTCATTTCACATTTTCAAAGAACAACAATTGAGGTCAAGAATTCTAATTTTTATATCCTCCACCATAGTATTGAGGGTATATTAAGTTTGTCATTCCGTTTGTTACACCTCGAAATATTTATTTTATACCTTGATCAGCATTAAATTCTATGTGGATTTAGCGATGTCCGTCCGTCTGCCCGTCTGCGGAAATCACTACAGCTTCCGAACGAAATGAAGTAGGTTGCTAAAATTTTACTAAAGCCTAAGACAGAAAATTGTCTGTGCAGGTCCACGTCTTCGTATCGCCCCATATGACGGCACCCCCGATATTCGGTTTTTTTGATGATTTTAGCTACATTATTCACTGATTTTTTTCGCATTTGAATATTGTAATAGCTTATGACAAAAGTTTCCTGTGCAGATCCTACATTCGGTATTTTTAAGATTTTAACAGAATTTTTAACAGATTTTATTTCTTTCTTTTTTTTTTTTTTTTTTGAAAATTGCAAAATGCGTTTCGAATGGTGGATGGAATTCAAAGTTCGACCCGGCGAACTTACAGCATTTTTTATTTGTTTGCATTCGTTTTTTTAATATTGCCAATATATGAAAGTTCAATGGGTCGTATGAATATTTTTCATACGCCACCGGGACCAATATTTTGAAACTAAATCAGTGGTGCTCGCACACACACCATCCAAACATGCTATGACATTTTCATCAAAGACAAAAGTTCGAATTTATCCTTATTCAAGACGCTGTATCCAAATTTGCCACTCTTATGTGTGTGATGGATGACATTGTTTTGCAATGTGTCATGTATAAAATATAAAATAGCTTCCTATTATTGCCAGTATTGTAGTAGAGTTAAGTTTAACAAGTTAAAAAGTATCCGTCGGTCTTGCCGACGGATTTTGACTTGCGTTATGATTATTCAAACTGTTTACACTTTATTGGGGAAGTTCCAAATGAGAGGGCCAATGTTTTCCATTGGGATGTTGTCCATATTGGGATGAGCATCTAACATTAATTTCCAAGTTTGTGCGTATAATTAATGAAAATTAAAACTTTTTGTGGGGGAGATACCAGAAGGAGTGAGCCGATGAATTCTATATTCACATCAGAAATCAGGTTGCCAAGTTTTAAAAACAAGTTTTAATAGCTGACTTGTTTCCCCCTTGGTAGGGGAGATACCAAAAGAGGTAGACCGATATCTATCATCTTCACACCATATATTGTGTTAATAAAAATATTGGTATGTGTGAAATTTTAAGGGAATCGGATGCTTACTACGCATTTATAAGCGTTTTGGTTATTCAATATTTTGACTTTTGTGGGGGAGGTACCAGAAAGAGTGGACCGATATATTCTATCTCCACGCCAGCTCTTGTGTTAGCAAAAATATTGGGATGTGCTAAGTTTGAAATCACTCTAGCTTCCGAACGTATGCAGGACTTTTAGTATTGAAAATGGGCCATGTAGGACCACATCTTCGTATATCCCCCATATAACGACCCCCCGGGAGCTACCACAAGGAGTGGACCGATATATTCTATCTTCACGCCAGGTCTTGTTTTAGCAGAAATATTAGGATGTGCTAAGTTCGAAAATAAGCGGATGCTCATTTCGGGTTTTATGAGCTTCATAGTTATTCAAAATTTTGACCCGTTGTGGGGGAGGTACCAGAAGGAGTGGTCTGATATATTACATCTTCACACCAGATTATGTGTTGATAGAAATATTGTGATGTGTTCAAATTAAAGATAATCGGATGCTTACTTCGCATTTTATAAAAGGTATAATAATTCCAAATTTTAACCCTTTGTGTGGGAGGTACATGTTGGGTTGGGCCGATATTTTCCATTTTCGCACCTGACCTAGAACTGATATAAATATTGGGATTTGCAAAGTTTTTACAAAACTGTTCTACAAGGAAAATAATTTTCTGTGAAAATTTTGAACATTTATAGGGGAGGTACCAGAGGGAGTGGACCGATATTGCCCATCTCCGAACTTGATCTAAGTTTGATAATACTATTACGATGTACCAAATCGGACACTCCCTTCGAGAGTTATCGTGCGCACCAGTCAGACAGACAGATGGACGGACAATGCCAGCATCGTTATTTTGACTAGGTTGACCGCATCAACTAGAACTAGCAATAAAGAATAGCCATTGTTTATTTTTTAAGAGGAAACCTTTAAGAATTTTCATTAAAATGTTACAATGAAAAAATTAAAGAATATGCAAATGCCACATGAAAGTCTAGGTACAAAAGGGACAATTTGCTGGCTTTCGACAGAAACAAACAATAAAAAATATGAACATTTGGAATTGCAAATCAAAAACTATCATTAAGAAAATTCATGCCTTCTGGTGGTTGTCTTTAAGATTTGTAGCTTGTGTATTGGATAATGCTGACGTATATGTTTTGGAAACGTTTTCAAAAGAGGGGAAATAGAGTTCAAGTATTGATTAGGTCTGTCTGGTGTAATGTGACAGGTGTCATATACATATCACTGATAAGGGCTGCGTACATACCGTAATAGGTACTACCTTTTACGTAGATTTACATCATCATTCTATTTTTGCATATAACTGCTTTATTTATTGTGTTAATATATAATTCTCATTCACCTCATGTCATTGTGTATGTGATGGTAAAATGCAACTCTGTTTCAAGACAATTTGTCGTGAATAAATGCAAAATTATGAAATACTTATTTTCTAAAAATGTTCAAAACATCACAAAATTTACCTTTATCGGTGCTTCACTACGCGCTTCACACACAATCCGTGCAAAAATAGTCTCACATTTATTATTCTTATCCGATTCACGGGCGCTAATGGCGAAACGATCCGGATATACAGCCAATACATCGACTTCTGGGGCTTCGGCTGCCTTTGATTTGGTTTCGCACTCTATGTGCAGCAGTTCACCATCGTTCATGGACTTGGTGGTGGGAATTATCTGAATCGTGTATGTGACGCATGCCTTTAGCCCTTCAATGGTTATACTTGTTTTCGTGGTCTTCTGGTCAAAGGCGGAAACTTGATTATCCTCATCATCCCAGCCAGACAGACGGTAGCCAGTGACACATAAATCGGCAAATTCGGGCGGATCCCAAGATATGTCAAGAGAAAATGGTTGAGCTATAATTTCCTTTTTGCGCACAACAGATGGTCCTTAGAAAAAAAAAAAAACACACAGAAGAAAGGAGATGGGGGATTACCATTCAAAATTACACTTAGCATAAATGTTGTTGTTGCTTTGCATACTTCCTTCCAAAGTTTTGAAATTGTTCGTAAATGTTTCGCCATGTGAACCATTTAACGACTTTGGCACGATGGTATAATTATATTCACCACAGGGTTCCAAGCTATCAAAATTTGCACTCGTATCGGAAATGTAAAACGGTCCGTATGCTATGGGGCGTACAATTGGTCCAATGAATTCCACAATGTAATAGTCAACACATTTCGGATTCAGTACCGGTGGATTCCAGTAAATGTTGGCTGTGGTACCTCCGGTATCACTGGAACTAATTGTAACGATTCCGGGAACTGAAATGAAATATTATTTACCGTTTGACGAGATAAAGCATTAGATACAATGGCAAGTGTCGGTGTTGTTACGCATACGCAATGGTTAAAAGTCACTAATGTTTCGATTTATTAATAACAGTTTACGTTGTAATGAAAAGTCAGCTGGACCATTACCAATGGCATATGTCATTATATAATTATAACCATGTATAAAAATATACGAAATATAGTGCACAAGAGAAGACTAAACTAAAAAAAATATAAAGCATGGAGGAATAATTATAATTAATTAAACATATGCTAAATATAATTAATTAATTATTCCAGTGACAGCTCATTATATTGTTTACAAACATACAAAAGCATTTTGGTGAGAATTTTTCAGAAAAGTTATTCGTCATGGAATTCAAGCGTGATGGTGTGATTTCGTTATATTTGGTTGGAAAACCACAAGTGGCTATCGGTAGAGCACTCCAGCATTTAAATGTGAAACAAAGAAAATGATCGTATTTACTTGCCAAAGATGCCAGCTGAAAATGTGCACCTTCGGTTGGCCACCAGAACTCAAGCGCCGGCCATGGTGATGGTGTGGGCCGCCATAAGAGCCGATGGTCGCTCTCCTCTCGTATTAATCGACCGTGGCATCAGACTAAATGCCGAATATTATTGGGAAAATATTCTGGAGGATGTATTAAAGCCTTGGGTACGCAACCATTTTGGCCGCAGATCTTGGTCATTCCAATAGGTCTCAGCGCCACCGCGCTCAGCACGTGCCACCCAAAAACGGTTACAAAATGAGGTTCCTCGCGTCATTTCTAGCGCACAATGGCAACCAAAATGGGCCAAAATACCGCAACGCAACATTCGGGCAGCATGTGACGGTTTCATTGGCCGTTTGAAGGCCATAATTCGTGCCAAAGTTGACCAATTCGAAAAAATCTAGTTATACTAAAATTTTATGCTATTTCCGACATTTTTTGCTTTCATTCAATAAAAATAAAAAAATTGAAAAATTATGGCGTTTGACTGTGTTGCAGTTTATTTTTATCTCATCCTGTATATGTATGATAATGACAGCTCACTATTAGCTCCCACATAGAAATAGTCGACCCGGGCAGCTCTCGAATTATTTCAGGTGGTGTCCATTAATATTTGCATTTTCCCTTTACAACTGTCTCGTCCATCATGCGTTAGTACTGAGATTAGGGATTCGGTACTGTTGTTGGTAAGGGGATTTCTTAATGACATTCATTCAATTCAATCGGTTATTTATTAATTCATAAACCCTTTTTTGTATACCATCGTCCTGAAATCTTCTTTTGGGTCCTGAAACCTTTTATTTGGTAGAAATTGACATTCTTCCTGCCATTTTTCATATGCCCCTCTATTTAGCCATAATTCTCATTAGCTATTAGATAACAGAAAAGGCGTTGAGTATAGAAAATAGTACCCAACGCCTTTTCTGTTTTCATTTCTACGTGATGTTTGAATGTCATTGGTCGCTAAGCCGAAGCTCATGGTGAATGGATATGATGTACATATATTTGCATGTTTGTATGATATTCGAAAGTGCATACGTAATATAAATCTTCTGATCAAGCTTTTAAACTATACTTTGTAAATTTATTTACAAATTATATAATAAATAAATATGAATCTTAGAAAAAAATGAGAAACAAATGTTGAACCATGACTTATTGTGATCATTACATGCGGGATGGAACAAATGCCAATTCTGTTCCTTTTCTCAGAGACCTATTTACATTTTTTTGCATAGATCTACATACCTTTCTCCGATGACATAAATGTCATTTTAGTCTTGGACGTTTCCACATTATTTATGAAAAATTCAATTTCATAAAGTTCACATCCTTGAAGTCCTGTTATTGTGTACTCTTTCGCTGTTGGATCCGTTATATTTTTTGTAGCTTCGCACTTGTTACCTTTAAAAATAAAAACAAAATATTACAAAGCAGTAAGTTCGGCCGGGCCGAACTTTGAATACCTTCCACCATTTGGAACGAATTTTGAAATTAAAAAAAACGTTGAAAAATACTGTTAAAATCATAAAAATACCGAATATAGGGAGTTACCGTTATATTGGGGTCTATACGAAGACGTGGACCTGCATAGACAATTTTCCGTTAGGAACTGCAAATACGAAATTTTAAACAATTCTGATAAATAGTGCCGCTAAAATCATCGAAATACCGAATATAGGGAGGTACCGTTACATGGGAGCCATACGAAGACGTAAACCTATATAGCCCATTTTCAATACCCAAAGTCCAGCACAAACTCACATCTGAGTAAAATTTTATCAACCTGAGTAACATTTATTTTATTTTATCTGAGTAAAATTTTATCAATTCGTTCGGAAACTAGAGTGATTTCTACAGACGGACGGTCATCTTTAAATCGACATAGCATTTTATGCTGATCAAAAATATATGTACTTTTTTGGGGTCTAAAATGTATATTTCGAGATGTTACAAACGAAAAACTTAAAATACCCTCCATACTATGGTGGAGGGTATAAAAATAGGTATGAGCACATTGGTGACGGCTTGCAAAAAGAATAATGCATCTTCCAATTTAGAGTTTTTGTTCTTAGTTCGAATGCAAAATGTAAACAAAGCCTCTGCGTATAGTATTATCGACAATTGAAAATATAGGCAACGAGATGCTCCCACCGTTCATCTTCGAAAAAAATCGAATCAGCAGATGTCGTCTATATCGTTTTAGGGGTTGGAGTGGGAATATCGAAGCCACTTAATTCTCAAAAGTTAAAAATAACAAGAACTGAAGGATATTTGTCAGTTGAAAATTATTCCATAATAGAAAAAATGTGAAAAGTACGTGATGATATCGAAAAATTCCGGATTAATCAAGTGAAATTCTTGAAAAACGATGAAATGTGTTTTCGAAGCCGAGTGGGTTGAACGCGGAAATCAGCATCTTGACAATGCAAAACATGATGAGAGCCACCTGGATAAAAAGACAAAATTAACTTTTCGTTGTCTATATCTTCATTTGTCTATGATGGTATTTAGATTTTACACCGGTCGTGAGAAGATCTATTTTTTCATGGTAAATCTGGTGGAATAAATAGGTATTGAGCAATAAATTCTGATAATGTGGGTTAATCTGGATAGTATTTGGTATTTAAACGCACTATTATTCTCACAGAAAGAAGTGTACATTTTTTCGATTATGCGATTGGTTTCAAAATACAACAATGGCTAATAACTATAGTTCTAGTACTCACTACCAGTTTCTGGAATTATCGTTGTAACCTCAACAAAGTTGCCAGCGTCGCCGGGGACACAGTCCAAAAGTGTCCATTTGAGATAGTAAAAATTTACACAAGTCGCTGGGGACTTCAGATCCCAGGTAACTTTTGTGTCTGCATGGGAGTTGTTGGCAATGGTTAACGTCACATTACCCGGTTCTGATGAAACAAAGATTCAATAGTTTGATTAAAAAAATAAATAAAAAAAGAAACCAGTATCCAACTTACCCATGTACTCGGTGCTGGCATTCGCTGTACTGGTTGCTATTAAACTATTGTTGATGTCATTTGTCTTCAGTTGGATGATATAGTCTTGACAGGGATGTAAACCCTCCATTAGTAGGAAGGTAATATCATTCGTTACCGTCCACTTAAAGATCAATGAATTGTCTACCGATTTGGCCTCGATGAGGAAATTTGAAATGCACGTTCGATGTTGAGACTGCCATGTCATGTTAATTGATTCCGGCGACGGAGATATAGTCTGAATAGTTGTAGATGGTGCTGAAACAATTTATGTTTTGATTATGAAATATTGGTAAAATAAAATGCTTCATGTTGCTAATGAAATCAATCTTAGTACTCTCTTTACGGATTACTATTATTACCTGTGTAGTCTGTACTCTCAGTCAATTCCACAATTGATGGCGTCTCCTCGGTAAGATGTTTTACGGTAACAATTGCAATGTACGATGAACAGGGGTCCAGGTTTTCACTGATACAAGTTAAACAATTCAAAATTAATATGCAAGCTATTTATGGTTGTATTTGTGTTTATCTTACCAGATGAATTCCTCGTTTCCAACAGTTTCAAGACTAGTTTTACTATTTTTACAGGTCACATTTTGCATTACATAGTTTTCCGTATCATCAACTGAAAATTTTAGACTAAACGAAGTCGTCTCAACATTTATCTTTGGCGGAACTGGAATGGGAAGAAACAAACAAATTATGAACATTTATTTCGGGCCTGTTTTTTAAATGTCAACATACCTGTAACATCTTCGCCACCGCCTTCAGCAGAAATTTGGAATAATGAGTGAGATAAAATAACCAGGAATAGCTGCCATGCATGGAACGGTGGTTTCCAACGTCTTCTCAGATGAAACTTTTTCGTCATATCGATATTTTCATGTCACTTCTTTGAAACAGAAATCAAACTGAACAATTCAGCAACATCGCGTAGCAGCTATTCTAAAAATTTAAACAAATGTAAAACCATTATTACCAGAACTATTGCATACGTTTTTTAGATCTTTTTTAAATTTAATAATTTGAAATTTTTAATTTTAAATTGAATAATTCTAGAAATCATGAAAATCTGAGTCATGATTATAAAGTAGATGAATTATGAAATTATCAATTTTTGTTACTTTCTTTCACCCATTTTTTTTTTCAAATGTGTGAAAACGACGTTAAAATTTATGACGTTTAAAAATATTTATATTGTTAATTTATTTAACTAACGTAGAATTTCGATAATTCGTAGCGCAGAGCATGACACAATTGCATAAGGTAGAACCCCATAATACAATCTTTTTCTTTGGTGCCTTTATTCTGTCAAAACATATACATTTTGTGTATGTATGTGTATTATTTTGAATAAAAAATATTTAATAATTTAAATTTATTAATTTAAAATTATTTCAAATTCGGTTGCCAAATAAATACATATAGGGTGAGATGAAAAACTGCAACCAACATCAGACTGCTGTAATTTCTGAGCCAGCTGTTAAAATTATTCCAGTGACAGCTCATTATATTGTTTACAAGCGTACAAAAGCATTTTGATGAAAATTTTCCAAAAAAAAGTTATTGGTGACGGAATTCAAGCGTGATAGTATGATTTCTTTATATTTGGCTGGAAAACCACAAGTGGCAATCGTTAGAGCACTCCAGCATTTAAATGTGAATAAGTCTATTGTGTCTCGTAACATCACTCGTTACCGTGATACTGGTAGCGTAGCCCGACGTCAAGGAAGCTGACGGAAGAAAACAGCAAGAGCAACAAAAATGGTTTGAAAAGCAAAGAAACGACTTGATCGAAACCCGCGTTGCAGTGGCCGAAAAATGGCTCGTGAGCTGAACATATCGCAATATTCCAATCGGCAAATATTGAAAAATGAGCTCGGGTAAAACCATTGATATTTCAAAAAGTGCAAGAACCTACACCGCAACAGAAATAAAATAGACTCAAAAGAGCTAAAGATTTGCTTCGGTTGGCCGAAAGTGGTGAACTGCCGAATTTGGTTTTCTCCGATTAAAAAACATTCGTTATCCAGCAGTTTGTAAACAAACAAAATGATCGTGTTTACTTGCCAAAGAGGTCAGCTGAAAATGTGCACCTACGGTTGGACACCAGAACTCAAGCGCCGGCCATGGTGATGGTGTGGCATTAGAATAAACGCCGAATATTATTGCGAAAATATTCTGGAGGGTGTATTAAAGCCTTGGGCACGCAAACATTTTGGCCGCAGACCTTGGACATTCCAACATCGCACTCAGCAAGGGCCACCCAAGAATGGTACAAAATGAGGATCCTCACCTCATTTGCAGTGCACATTGGCCACAAAAATATCCGGATACCCATCCGTTGGACTATTGTTTCTGGAGTATTTTGGAAAGCAAGTTTGGCACTAAAAAATACCGAATTTTCGATCAACTCAAGCAAGCGCTTCGCCGGGAATGGTCCAAAATATCGCAGAGCTAAATTCGAACAAATCTAAACTTATTTTAAAATTTGATGCTATTTGCCATATTTTTTGCTTTCATTCAATAAAAATTAAAAAAAAAAATGTAAAAATTATGGCGTTTGACTTTGTTGCAGTTTTTTATCTCACCCTGTATATTGTAAATATTAAGGGCTTCATTACACTACCTTGAGTTACCCCAAATCTTACAGAAGCTTAATCACATTTTATCTTATTGAGCTGAAGAAACTGATATCAATTTAGCAAATAATACTTAAGTACGTCAATATTTGTCCGCCATAATGTTGCAAAGTTTTTAAGTTAAATGATCACCCTACATATAATGGAGCCTCGATATTTGGTAGATTTTGTAGGCTTTAAAAGCATTATTTTTGGCCACAATTATTGTTCTTATTTATCGACTTTTAGTGGCTAGAAAATATCTATTCCGTAAAAAATACTAGTAATAGAGCGAATTGTAAAACTCACTCTCAGTGAACTACTTTGCCTCGAAACTAAGCTAAAAACCAGTAAAGAAAGTCTTAAAGTCGGGCGGGCCGACTTTATAATACCCTACACCACTTTGCTATTTTAGTAGAGCTGCGCATAACAATTAAAAGTTTTTATGGGAGAATTCAAACATACACGCTATGATTAAATTTATAATTTAAAGTTCAAAGGACTAAATATGCCGAAGCATTTGTATCTTTTCAATTCGGACTTGTATTGCCCATTTGGTGCACAATTTTATCCAATTTGGGCAAATATTAGACGTTTGGTGCACAATCTTAGGTAAATCGGACGAAGTTATATATGGGAACTATATCCAAATCTGAACCGATCTCGATAAAATTTAGCAAATGTATTTCTGAGCTGTATTTGATATATTTTCCCAAATATTGTTGTTACAGAGTGCATATTACGGCTGCGGAGGACAAAAATAACAAATCGGATGAACAATATATATGGGAGCTATAGCTATATTTGAACCGATTTCGATCAAATTTAACATACTTATTTTCAGGTCCAATCTGATCGTACGTGCAAAATTCCAAACTATTGGGACTGATATTACACGTTTGGTGCACAATAAAAGGCAAATCGGACGAAGATATATATGGGAGCTATATCTAAATTTTGACTGATTATCTCCAATTTCAATAGGGTTCGTCCTTGGGCCAAACAAATGATTTGTGCAATATTTCATCTGGATAGGGCAATAAATGCGAACTGTACTTTGTTTACAATAATACATGGACAGACGGACGGACGGACGGACATGTATAAATCGACTCAGAATGTGATTCTATGCAGATCATCAAAAGGAACTATGGGTCTATCTTGTTTTCTTTTGCCTGTTACAAACTAATGTACAAAGACATTATACCCTGACCACCTTGTGGTGTAGGGTATAAATATCAATCATGATACTATTTTTTATTCAGCCAAATTTTTAGGTAGATCTTTGTTTCTTTATGTGCAAGAACCTTTTACTTTCAACATTTCGAGAAATGTTTACAGAAATCCGTTAACCGAACAAGTAGTGAAAATTTAAGAGAACGCAACCAAATACGGAGTTCTTCGATTAAGATGCAAGTGCGATATGATAAAGGGAAAATCGGTTATCGCAAACTGTTACATTCTTGCCGTTCGGTAGCAGGCCGAAATCTATATCTATAAAAGAGGAAAATCGCGGCCCAAATTTTCCTGAAAATTTACAAGCGCACTACAATATCGCCCGAAAGAAACATAGGCTATATAAATCTGTAAAAAAAATATTTATTTTCGGCCGATTTCACATAATTGATGAACCTATCACGATACGTATATCCGATTCCATTGAAATTTGGAATGAGTGACGGAATTTGGAACCAAAATAAATTAGCCAAATTATATTGAAATCGGTTAAGATTTGGATATAGTTGCCATAAATATTATCGACCGATTTCTTTTATTTGATGCACCAAACACGATATGTATGTTCGATTCTGAAGTGAATTGGAATGATTGACTGAATTTAATCAGAAAATATATTAATGTGTATTATATATTAAAATCACTTCAGATTTAGATATTTGGTACAAATGACATTCGGATCGGGTAACGATATTTGGAATATAAATAAATTTGCCAAATTATATTAAAATCGGTTCAGATTTGAATATAACTCCCACATACATTTTCCGATTTGGCAATATTTTATGCACCAAACACGATATGTATGACCGATAAAACCAAATGGGGTAGCGAAGCGCACCGGGTTTACCTAGTTGTTTTATAAAAACAATTGTAGAAAATTATTCGTATATGTCTGTTTGTTGATGCTCTAACCATGACAGAGAATAAGAGACAGCAACGCTAGCGTGCATACCCAGCTAGCATTTGGAAGATTGTTTTTGAAAAAATCACTTCGGTGAGTCTATTTCGAGTCCTTTTGGTGATCAAAAAATGATTAACTCACGTATACGATCGAAAAGCGACTCGAAAATGACTCTCTTTAATGAGTAAAAAGAGGTCAACCAAAATACAGCAACAAAATGTAGGGGAATCGCAAATCAATCATTGAGATGTGCAAAATGTGACTATTTTTTCCGTTATTTATTATCATATTGCGATCATGTACAGATTGAAAAATGATTAGTCTTAAAAAGATCATGCAGTTGTTTGAAAAGTGATTATACCCAGCTTGCACATGAAAATTGTTTTTAAAAAAATCACTTCGCAGAATCTTCTTCGAGTCCTTTTGGTGATCAAAAAATTATTAACTCACCTGTACGATCACAAAACGACTCGAAAGTGACCCCCCTTAATGAGTAAAAAGAGTTCATTTAATTTTATAAAAAAAAAATGTATGGTAATCAAAAATCAATCATTTGGATATGCAAAATGTGACTGTTTTTCCGTTGTTTATTATCATATTGCGATCATGTACAGATTGAAAAATGATTAGTCTTAAAAAGATCATGCAGCTGTTTGAAAAGTGATGTATTTTTTATCATATTTCGCACAGATAAGTGCTTAAATGCTGCTTGTTTTTCTATGCATAACGGGTCATTTTGTTGCGTTTCTGGAGTGGCTATAAAAAAGTTGACTTATTGGTCATTTATAAAAAGTGCGTGGAAGCGTCAACAGCAAAAGTGTTAAATATTAAAAAGTGATAAAAAATATTAAAAAGTGTACGTTTATCTATATGTTTGTTTATTTATTTATTGTTTTTATAAAGAAAAAATGTCAGCAAGCCAATTTAAAAAAATAGAAAAGGCTAAAATAAAAAGGATGGCAAAAAATGAATTGGTGCAGTAAAATGAAACGATACTTAAACAAATTGTAAGTATACAAAATTGGGTCTTTGATTGATTAATTCACTACTTTGCAATATATTAATACTTATATAATTTTTGATAATCTATTTCCAAAAAGAATTTATTGCAAAAACCGGCGGTGAAGGACCCCCTCAATTCCTTCGGGCTGCCGTTCGAAAGATTTTTTCTGACAATTTAGCCT